AAATTGTCAGATTTGCATTTTTTAGAGTATTAAAGAGTCATAAGAAAGGGACAGTTATTAAAGTACTATTTTAAATTTATTTATTCAACAATTAAAAACATTTTACTTACAAATAATCTCTATATTTAAATGACTCTTTTGTGACTAAATGAACCAAATAAAAGTTTTACCTTTTAGAGATGGAGTAAAAACATTGTATTTTCGCCTAAGCGTTTTTCACTAAATCAATAAACACTTTCGCAGATCTCAACACAAATTCTGAAACTGAGGCGGGACGTTTGTTATATTTTTATTGCAAAACATCCTGCTTATTTTATTCATTTACTTGATAATTATTGTGTTCTCTTCAGCTGAATTATTTGCCTCAAAATAAACGTTTAGCGTCACCACCTAAACTATCACTTTTACTTCTAAAAGCCAATAAAAGTCACAAATAACATTAAACAGAATAACAATTTAGGATACAGCTTTCTTGTTTCCTCTTCTAAAAGCCTGTAGGAAAAAAGCTTAGAAAATTATTTTTCCAACAGAAATAGAGTCAAAGTGCATAATTTAAACTCTTATAACTTCTAAATTTTTATAGATAAAATTTTTTAAACATTTTTTCCATGTTTATCTCTGGCGCGGCCTGTATATGCGTACATATACATTTTTTTTAAATTTGTATCTTGCATTTTTTTAACGTTTATGCACTTTTCTGTGTCTCTTTGACCTCTGGGTTTAATTTTGAAATTTTTAATTTTACCGATTTGTCAAAATTTTTCAAAAATTTATTTTCACTTTTCTAAAACATTTTATAAGATTTTCTGTATTTGCTAACCTCTAGGAAGCATTTGGTTCTTTGTAAAATTTTCGTCGATTTTAGATAGCAGTAGTAACAGTTGATAACTTTTTTGTGTTTAGTATTAATGAAATGCAAACTAAATTTCTATTTTATAAAAAAAGCTCATTATTCCGCAACGAACAATTTTTGAGAAAGTCGCAAGTACTTATAAATGCAAGAATAATCAAAATATATACTCCAGTGTAACTTATACGAGTAAACTATTTGCTCATACTATAAATTTCTCGATTTTTCGAGAAAACTTAAAGTATTCACTTAGTAAAAAAGTATATTAAAAAATAAGTGTTGCAAACACCCTCATTGTGATCGGCACGAGTATTACAATTAGAGGTTGTAACACGTGTTTTTTTTATACTATTTCTTCTATTGAGCGATTTTTGAATTGAATTTATTGTTATAACGTAATATGGTCCTACAGTTTTGGAAATGTTTTTAGAAGTTCATAACTTTTTCAAAACATTTTTATTTAGTAAATGTAATAAAAATTGATAATAAAAACAACAATAAATAATCCATAATCAAATTACTGATAGCGGGCCATTATCTTCAATGGTACTCAATTTTTTTTTGATTTGCCCCATTCTTTGCTGTTCAAAACCAAGTCGATTTCTCTAAGCTTTAAAAAAAAATCCACGTTTCAATTGTTTGTCATTTCTGACTTCCCATCCCTTGCCGTAGATTTTTCTCTTCAATATTGTTCAAAATTTTTCAGTTGATCGAGCATGAGGTACATTGGGAGGATTGTCTATTTTACGTACAAAATTTATATTGTTTTCGTCAAGCCATTTTGTAGCTTTTCTACATGAAGGCAAATTAGACCAAAACATTACATCACCGTTGGCATGATGTGTATTTAAAACTTCCTTGAGTTTGAAGAGATATCTTTGAATATAAATATGGTCTTTGAAACAGCGAATCTTCGACCTAATTTTGGTTGTGAAACTCCAACTTTCTTTTTAATGGCTTCAATCATTCCTTGTTTCCCCAAAATTTTGGGTCGATGACTTTTGAACACATTAACACGAGGTATACCCTCTTCACATTCTATAAATTGTTGTTACAGAAATAGGTATTTTGTTTTCTATAAATTGCAACAAGTTCACGTTTAGGCATTCGCCCAACTAGATTGTAAATGCCTTAACGAATATCTAACTTATAAGACATTTTCGAAAACCCGATTGAAACTATATATTAAACTGCCATAACATAAACAAGTTAATTATCAATATCATATTTTATTTCCAGCAACAACTTATTTAAATTAAACACGATTTGGTTTAAATAAAAACCATCTAAAAAAAATTCCAAAACTTTAGAACCATACGCTATTTGATGTTAATATTTTTTAATTTTTACGTATGAAGTACAAAATGCCCGTTGTGACACCGAAATAGAAAGAAAATAGAAAAAAGCTTTTATGCTTTTTTATGTTTTTTTTCTTACTAAGGCTTTGTTGTTGTTTTGCAGTTTTTTCAACGCCAATCGATTTCTCGGAACATTTTACATACAGGCTGTCCCAGTAAGTTGAAAAAGTCCATTAGTTACCTTTAAATGGTAAAATGTTGAAAAAATTATATAGGACATTGATAGGTACTAATCTAGTCCATCGCCTAAAATTATTTTTAACTATACAGCGTGTCTCAAAAATAAGTTACAATTCAAACTTGTGTTTTCTTAAATGAAACACCATATGTTTCTCAGCATTTTTGGATGTAGATTAATAATGATAATGTTTTTAAGCTAAACTTTTATTGGGCGATTTTGGTTAGTTTTAAAAATAAGACGTTTTTTTTGACAAAAATATATTCTTTTAAAAATTTGTTACGCAAAAACTAAGACATCCAGAAATATTTTTTTTACTACTGCAAAGAAGAAGATACAAGGTATAAGGTTGTAACATTTTTTTAGTGTGTTGCATTTCATTTATCAATTCTAGACATTAACAGTTTATTTTTTTAGATAGATAATTTATCAATCTATTTATTAGATGCAAAAATAAAAAATAGGGTGTTCCATTTAATTTAACTTTTAACAAACTTCTTCATTTTTTAATCTATACAAATGCAAAACACTAAAAACTTGCTACAGCTTCAAATTCTGTACCTTCTTCTTTGCAGAAGTAAGAAAAAATTTGTTCTAGCTGTCTTAGTTATTGTGTAATAAATTTTTAAAGAGTGCATGTTTTCGTTAAAAAAAACGTATTATTTGTAAAACGAAGCGAAATAAACATACGGTGTTTCCTTTAAAAAACACAACTTTGTATCGTAACTTATTTTTGGGACATGATGTATAGTTGAAAAGAATTTTAGGTGATGCACTAGATTAATATCTATTAATGTCCTATACATTTTTTTTTTAATTTTACCATTAGTTAGTGACCTATTGGACTTTTTCAACTCGCTGGGACACCCTGTATGTATGCATAAAAACGTTATAACTTTAAGGTACCTCAAATTTATATTGTTATAATGTACCTACAGTTTTGCCAAATTTACAATTTAAAAAAGTAAAAATTTGTGAATTTGTAAGTTGAAATTTTGTTAATTTCTTTTATTTTCACGATTTCTCAGATCGTCCCCACCCGTAAAAAAATATGAATAATGTTCAATTTTAACATTAGTAGTCAACTTATAAAATAAAATTTAATATATTTAATATTATGATTTTCTAAAGCTTGTGGTGGTGGCTATATTCTCTTTGTGTTTCTGACCAGGCTATTTATTAAAGCATCAATTTGTGTGCTGAAGTGTTTTTTAAGCATTCATTTTCGGAGGAATTGTTGGAGATTTCGATTGTAATAACGATGCTCGCTAATTGACAAATCTCGAGCATTGTAAAACACTTCAGTGCTTCCAGTAAACAATCAATTCTGCTGAGCAATTTCCATGCGAAACTTGTTTGCTCAAGAGCCATTCTGTAAGACAATCGATTCTTCTCATAACTCTCGTATAAATAATTAAATCGTCTGTTAACAGAGCGATTTTTTCGTTTACACTCTTTCAAGATCAGGAGTCGCTTGAATAACAATAGGGCCGTTCAACTTGGTGGCACTTGTTATGCAATGTGCGACGTATGTTATCTGGAGCTAGTCTGAATTTTAAGGGCTACGATGTTGTGTGCATACACTTGTATTATTTGCTCGCTGTGTCGTCTCTTTATGCAAATAAACCTAAACTTTAACCGAGACACTAACGATATTGAAATTCAGTAACAAAGTGCACTTGTGATTTTTTCCTCAAAAACAGACTCTTCTGATTACTGAAATAATTAGAACCGGTTAATTACCTGTCTTCGGTAGTTCATAATTGCCTCCCGGAAATTAACTCCGACATTTTCATAATTATTCTTTGATTTTTCGCATGAAAACAATTTTTCGAGGTCGAGATAACGAAATTCCCATGACGCAGGTGTTGTATTTTTGTCGGTTTCGTTACCACCTACTTGTGGCTTCGAAAGTAATTTATCACAACAGCTGAGCCTCTCGAGAAACGAAACTTACACTTTTTCGACACAAGAGAGGAAAAATACGTTTTGACACTTGAGATCGAATCAACTGCGGCAGAATTAATCGAGAGAATTGAGAGATGTATTCATGAGTTCGATTTGTCATGAGGGAACTATACCTGCAGCTAGACAACGTTTGATGTGTCATTTGCGAACAATAAGGTGAAAAAGTGAAGTGATCGATGCCGACAAGGCTTATCGAATGGAGAAATGGGGTTGGCAGCAATGCGCCACCGGGAGAGAAAAATTGCAACACAATGCACTCCACGACAAACAAAAATAAAGACATATGTACTTCGAATCAACGTTTAACATGGCCATCTATTAAATTAGTGTGCTGTAATGAACATTTCGACACTCAAACGAGTGTTTTAATAGCGTTGCCGTGGAGACAAAACAGGAAAGAAGCATCGTATTTGTTTCATTTTTATTACTGTTTAATGGCTGTAAAATCGTTGACCGGTCCTAAAAATAGCCGTTAAAAATAATTAACTACATCTGGGTCGCCAATCCACCAAATGTATATTTGCTAAACGCTCGAATTCAAATCCGATCAAATCAAATAAATCATCGGTCGTATACAGCACTGCCATTTTTAATCACTTGAAATTCCACCAAATCTGTGTTTTATTTGATTTCTTTTTCGTTTCAGGCATCTTGTGTAACATCGACCGTTTGGAGTTGATAATGCCACGGTACGCGATCAGAGGCGGCGATGTGATCTTAAAGTGCGAACACAGCGTGCCACCCGAACAACTCTACAAAGTTGAGTGGCAGAAAGGAGGGCACAAGATTTTTCAGTATATCAAAGGACGAAAGCCGCCGTTTAGATTCTTTCCGACGGCAGGAGCAGTCTTAAACGTAAGGAAATTTCAGTGTTTTTCAGGAGTAAATCATTTGTTGTCATTCTTGACAATAAATCGAATTGATCATAAAAGAGATATAACATTTGTCGGCGATTCGGCGAGTGTTTTGCTCCGATGAACCGGACTTTTCGGTTCGGGAGTTATGTTCCGTATCAATTGCGCCGGAATCGGGCAGAGAGAAGCAAATATCCACTCGTAAATTTAACGAATATTTACACATTTGACAAGTTTTACAACCTCTCTTTACAAAATTTTATTTATTTTTGAGATTTCTCTAAGTTAAACCGACACACATTGTGTGTAAAACTAAAATTATCGCACTATTAGGAAATTTAATCCGTTGTTGTTGGCAATAGAATGTCAAATTACTGATTTATTATCGTGAGAGGTGTTTATAAAATGTAAAATCATGATTTGCTTATAAACGTAATTTGAAATCCAACATTTGCTCAAATTATGCATGTAAAAAAATTTTTTAATTGATTAATGTGGTTTGTGACTGTAAAATTATATTGGCAACATTGATTAATGTAGAGACAAAAGTTATCGCGTGACTGTAAATGACTCATTTTTGTTATCAAGTAGGTCACAAATCTGTAATCCTAATTTGGCAACACTGACTATTAAATTGAAACGTCACAGTTTTATATTCAATTGTCGTTTAATTCCACAAGCACCGTCACCACATCCCACCTCATATCACTAATATTTCAGTGTTACCAGTTATTTTTTTCTTACAATTATCTATGGTATCTGCTGTCTTGCATTATTTAATGTTGGTAACTTAATTTCAAAATTTAATTTTACAATCCCAGACTAATTTGATCAGAAGATAATTAAAAGAGTTTCAGTTTTATGGAAATTTCTTCTACTTGTATTAATTGTATTTTTTCTGTTACAATTTATTGAAATACTCAATTGAAAATACTAATGGCGACATTGCTGCTTTTATAACATATCCACCTAAGAACTGACGTTACATAAAACATTTATTACTTTCTCACATAATTTACGACATTGTGGAGAATGTTTTTGACAGCATAATAAAAAATTTAAAGTTGATTTGTTACAATTTTTTACGACTTTCTAGTACTTAAACTTACAAAAAAATAGCATTGAATAAATATTTAAATGTTTTATTATTTATTCAAAAAAAGTTTTGTTCTCAATAAGTAAAATATTGAATTTTAATTCTCTAATTTAGTTCACAAATATTTGACAGTTTTCTTTGATAAATATGTTTCTCGTTTTATATGAAGAATAAATATTGACAATTTAATTTTCCGTCTTTTTTGGGGCTATCCTTGCGTAACAAATATTTAATAAATTTTATTTGTTGGTTGCGTTTCACAAATTAATTTGAAGCCATTAATTAGATTTCTAATGAGACTTGTTTGAACTATCACGTCACACATTTATTATCACGAGAATATCAAATTAAAATTTAATTATGTCATTAATTGTTAGTTTAAAAATGGTGGATGCGCCGGGTTTGTTTTAATTGCTTTTAATTAAAATACTGCTTACTCGAGTCACAACAAGATTTTTTTCACATTTCTACACACGTCAGCTTTTTATCGATTCTCCAATTTATCGAAAAAACAAATCGTTAAATATAGCTGTGAACTTTTTGCTCTCTTTTTCCACACAAGTAAATAAAAAAGGTTMTAATCCCTCTGTTACAATTAAGTGCGACAAAAAATCTCCTCATGTGTAGTACGTTTTGCAATTTATTACCTATTCGTATTCACAAACACGTCCTTAGATAAAAATTCAATTTAAAATTCCACGTCTGTAAAGCAGTACATTCATTTATGAAATGTTCGTGAATTCTTAATGTCGTGCATGATGAGCACTTTATTGGATTGATTGGATATTACGATAACGACGAAGAGAGAGGCGAAATGTGGTGTATAACGTTACGGGACTTATCTATTAACATGTTTGTGCACTTAACAAGAGGATTAGAATTTTTCGAAATTAGTCACTCGGCACGAATCGATTGTAATTATTCGGAATTATCGAGTATTTAGATGAATTTAAAACAAATTTGTGATTACGCAAATATGGGAGATGTAAGCCGGTTTGTTATTCCACCGTTGCTTTAATAATAGTATCGTTTGCATTCAATGGTAATTTTGTATTGATTTTTGCTATTGCAGTAACAACAGATGATTTTTAGCCGAGTTTGCATTTACACAATTCGATCTGATCTTATTTCTTCAAATATAAAAAAATAAAATAAAATAGAAAAATATAAATAAAGGTATGTCTAAAAAACAACTACACCGATCATATTTGAGAAAAACACAATTGCGAAAAAATACTACCCACAGAATACCCCAACTAAGACTTTGTTACTAAATAATTAAGTTCTAATTAAAAGTAAAGATTTATTTAGGTGAAAAGGTGTGGATTTAGCACCTATTTCTCATAACTCAAATTAATTGAAATTCTAGGAATTCTAGAAATAATTAAACAAAAACTTTATGAATTTGGAGTGCCTTATTTTGATTTTTTTTAATCAGTTTTAATAAAATTGGCAATAAATCTTCCTAGGGATCACTATGTTTATAATTTTATTAATAAATAGTTGAAATAGATGGATTAGGTCACATGTCTATAAAAATTTGAGCTGTTTTATTGAAGTGATTAAAAATGTTGGTTGAATTTTTTATGTGGGTCCCAGAAAATAATTAAAAAGAACGTCAGTTAGGATGTCTGGAACAATCCATCAATCAGATATTTTTGAAGTTTTAAATTCAATAATTTTTGTTACTTAATAATAATTTAATCATATCTGTTTTATTATTTATAAAAGCTGAACAATTTTTCTTACGTGGAATTTAAACGAGACGAGCAAACTTTGTTGAGCAAAATCGATATCTCTATAATTATTTAGAGGTAAAATTTGTAATCGAATTAGTTCAAGCATTCGAGCTCATGTTTCGCTGTATCCTATAATTACGAAAGATTGAAAGCTTTATAATGTATCGATGAGAAGTCTTCGACGACAAATGAACTTTATAAATAATCAAAATCACGTCTTGGTTCTCGTTTTTTACATGCAATGGAAGTTTAATTTGCCGTTTACAAAGCTCGTATTTACTTAAAACTTGTGATTATTAATGAGTTCATTTCTTGTGTATCGCAACAACAAAACGTTATTCGCTCATTTGTATACATTCAAAAATTTATATTCATTTAAAAGTGAGTATAAATTTCTATCATGCCACACCTGTAAGTTCCCATAACAAGTCAAAAAAATTAATTAGCGGCGAAAAAGTGAGCATTGTGAGCATAATACACTTGTGCAATTATTCGCACCTTTGAACAAAGCCAACCCAAGACCTAACACACAATAACACTCTCACAATTAGAAGAAAAAAAGTGAAAAACATACAAGTGGAACCACGCAACCTACACAACAACTTGAGGCTATTTTCGATTAATAAATTATTCATGATATAACTTACTTATCTACCCTTTCTCGGTTTATTACTTATTAACTGTTGCTTGTTCAACATTTGCACGAACGAGAAGTTGGCGAAGTTGATGCTAAAACGCACGCCCACCCGAATTGTCATCGTTTCATCGATCCCTATATTTATTTATTTAAATATTTTATATTTCCGAGCTGATATTTACACAAGGATCAAGAAAAAACAAACAACCAAGTTGCAAATAAGGGTAATTTTATGGAAACCAGGGTTATTTCTGTTTTCTGATAAAACACCTGTTAAAACACTCATTTGGGTGATAAAATAAAATGTAAAAACAAATTACCAAATTAGTAAAAACTATGAGTATCATTAGAAGTTAAAATAACTTAATTTGCTTTATCGGAAAGTCGAAACAAAAATATATCAAATGAGTTAAATTGTTATGGAAAATACGATTGCGGACACGGAATTTTGGACGATTTGTCATTTCATTGACATCAAAATGTAAAGCGGGCATTATGTGCAAGTAACATCACTTTGGTTTTTGTAATTTTTATTATGACAGCTAGAGTAAAAAATGACAACAAATTAAAATAATCTATTGAACTTTATAAAAACACGTACTGCTGACATTATTGTTTCGGAAAATCGACGCCAAAAATAAATTTCAACTAAAACTTTCAATTTTTAATTTCAAACGTCAGTCATAGTGACAATAAAGCGTGGCTTACATTAAGTTTTCATGAACTGACATAAATTTGATGTCCAAAATTCCGTGTACGCAATTGTATTTGTTTTAACAGAAAATGAGTATTGTAAGTAGAGTGCTTCTGGCACCACCTCCCACCACTAATTTTTAGATGTCTTAATACGCATGAGTGATTTGTGATGTAGTATGTAATGTTAATTACCTACCTATATAATGTATTGTGTGTTGCCTATCACACATGTGAGGCAAAAATCTTTAAAAAAATGGACTTTCCTCAATAATGGCGGATAATTTAAAGGTGTGCGAAAGTTAGGTGAATTTATTTTTTTTTACATTACCAAGACAAAATAAAAAAAACAAAAGCTTTGCAGTGTATACAATAATAATAATTTTGAGGGCTAGAGCGGAATTTCCGGTTTGAAATTCCTCGGTTAAAATTCGTACACTATTCATGCGTATGTGTTGTAAAAGTCGGACCTTCGTCTCATACGCATAAAATGATAACGTAATTCCTCTCCTCGCATTTAAACAATGGAACCTATCTCCGACGTGCCTTCTTAAATCGCAGCATTATTTAAACTCTTCTCGAGAGTCTCTTCGGGAGCGCCGATTAACATTTTAATGATACAAATTGCGGCATCTTGCACTAATTATTTCTCTCTCAAGTCGAAACGTAACACTGAATCCTCTCGAGTTTCCGAATTGTTTAATTATTTCCAACTGTGCGTTTTTTTCGCTCGTCTCACTAATTAGTTTACGTTATTCGAGGGTCGAAAATGTGATTAACAATCCCACAAGCCGCAAACTTAACACCATATGACGAAAGGTGCAAATAGCATCGAGTCATATATTAAACGGTGAATTAAGACGAATACGGCGAGAACAGTTGGAAGACATCGAAGTTTCAAGACAATGTAAATGGGAGGGATGAATAATTTCGCGCATCCGATGATGATTTTTTACGCTTGGAATGGGTTGAAGCTAATTGTGACAGAAGGAATGATAATTCATTCGAATTGGTAGTTCGGGACGCGAACAATGGCTTTTTTGCATAATGAACTTTATTGTTTTCGTAAATTAGAAAATTACATGAAGGGAGAATCGTTATTCAACAAATTGTATGTTTTTACGTCGATAAGACGTAATGTTGGCCAAATTGCATCTCAGTGCTTTGTGCTTTTGAGGGTTGGCAGCTTTGATCTAAATTCTCTTTCTGACTTGACCCAATTTTTGAGCTTTAGAGGGCCTACTGCGATTTGAGATAAGATGGGAGCGCCATCTTAGATACAACAAGTAATTATATTTTGAGACAGTCGACTTTGATAACATTCTAATGCAAAGTCACCAGTAATGTTTGAGTTGGCAATAGCAAATTTTATTTTTAAATGGTACGACTGGAGCAACTGACAGTAAATACGTCAAATACTTGTAATTTGTTGCATTGTCTTAAACAGCTAAGAAAGAAAATGTCCATAATGTTTATAATTTAGAATTAAATTAATTACAACTAATTTGTCATTTTTCTTGTCAAACAACAAATAAATTTTATTAATTAATTAATTTAATTTAAGGGCAAATAAATGTGCTGAAAACCTCTTTAAAGATTAATAAAATGTTTTTACTGTAACATTTGGTGGATGCGCCGGGCAATTTTTTAATGTTTGTTAAAATTTTTATCACAGATTTTAAGTACGTTTTTAGACTTCTAATAGAAATGTGTAATTATAATGTCTAATTGATTTTTATAATTGATTTTAAAACACTAACGAATTAGTCTATTTATTTTATTTTCTAAAATTTTTAGTTTACGGATTGGTAACAGTGTAATATTATACGTTATTGATTGTTTTAAATTGGTATTTTAATAAATACAAGGTGATTTACGAGAAATAATAATCCTGACCAAATTTTCGATGCAACCACCATTACTTTTCGCAAGTTGGTTTGCGACAAATGTAATGTTAGTTGCATCAAGAATTTGGTCAGGCTCATTATTCCTCGTGAATCACCCTGTATTTTGACACTCAAATTAGTTACAAATACTTAGTTAGCGTCGCTAGTTTTTAATTATTAATTAAGTTTTCGTTCAAATGTCACATTGTAACTAACCATTTTTTCTTGCAATTATTTTTGAAAGCAAAACCTTGTCATTGAAAATTTGCATGAATATTATGTAATTCTCTCGTGCCGTCATGAATACATCAAATAATATTCACTTTACCGTCCGTCTCATCAAATATTCGGTTTCGGTAAGTTCGTCTGTCGTTGAATCTCGAAATCCTCTGATCCGGTCACCGGTATAATCAAACTGACGTTATGTGAAGACTCAGGAGAGTCAATTTTAAAGATATTCGAAATTCGTTTGTAAATTACCGATAAAAAAGATCACTGTTTAATAATAACTGCGAGTTTTTTGTTACAGAAAGCCAACACTAGCGAAATGCAAATCCAACTTTCGAAATTAGATTTTTCAGCATCGGGATCATATTCGTGCTTGGTCTCTATGGAAACTCCGATTTTTACTAAGGATTCCAAGAGCAAGGATCTTACGGTTATAGGTGAGTTACAGTATAGCCAACCGCTCTCACTTGGGGGAAATTTATTAGTTATGTATCCGCTATGTGACAAAGAAATTTTCTTGTATCGGCCATAACATGAATTTTATAGCGTCATAACGGTTTTTGTCACAAAAATGGCCGCATCGCAGTCACGTGACGTGTAAATATATAGCTTTCAGCGATGCTAATCAGTGGCAAAATGTATAATCAAGGTATTAAATGCCACGTCAGAGCTTAATATTAAGCAAAAAAGCAATTAAACTTTGCTAATTTAACTTTGTTCTTTCATAATAACGAATGATACTTTCAATATTTCTTTGAATATTAATACTTTTCAATTCGAATTGAAACTTTTAATGAAATGAAAATTTCGTATTGATTTCTTTCATGGATGATTTGTATTAGCTAATTTATGTTTGTAGAGCCGCAAGACAGCGACCCAACAATAACCTTCAACAAGAGCACTTACGAAATAGGGGAGGTATTAGAGGCAAATTGCACCACAGCTTCGGCAAGGCCGCCACCTCACATTACGTGGCTAATTAATGGTGAAAAGGTGGGTTCTCGAATGTAAATTACCAATTTTTTGCCACCGAAATACTCAAAAATAGAGATTCTCACGGAGACTCTTGAACGTAAATCATGTCATAACTCATTTCGAGGAAGAGATAGTGCGATAGTTGTCGCACCCACGCGTTTCGCATCTAATGGGGGTGATATATAATCGGAGGGGGTTGTGAATATTTCAAATGACAGCGAGTTTATCTGGGAAAGTTGGGGAGATTCGAAATTAATTCACACTTTTTGAAGAGATTTGGTGCGATATTTATAGAGTTGTTTGGATTTATGCGGGTGGCAGGATTGGCAATTCTACGACATATGCAAGAAAATTGTCTACGATTGTAATTTTCAAGTATACAGGGTGTTCCATTTTTATTGTTACAAATTTAAACAGGAGATACAATATTCAATTTTAAGATAAAAGTTTCCTATGAACATTCTTGAAAAATACTATGTAAGGGCGCTACACTCCATGAAAGGAGTGTATGTTTTAATGGATTTTGTGTAATATTTTAAACCATTTTAGATAAAAGTACAAAATTTGGTACAGTTGATTGTCTTTATGTCGAAATTTTTAATCAGAGGCGTCCTAAACTGGGGTTTATGATTAAAAGTACTATAACAACAACAAAATTCTAAATTCCATAGTTTTTTACTAAAAAGATATAACTTACCCTTTTTGAGTAAAATCTTTCTAATATTTATGTTACACTTGTTTTGTGGTGTTTTTTACTGAAAAAAAAATGATGAAGTTTGGTCGAAAATCATACTATTTTTGCTTTTTTAAACGTTTTAGTATGTTTTTAAGCTAAAAACTCAAATTTTGAATAATACTTCATTGAGACAAGATAAAATCTTATATTATTTTTCACTTTTCCAAGCGTTTAAGAAAGTTCTTCAGCCAGAAATGCAATTTTTTTTGCAAAATTTTGTCCGAACCAGTTGAAAAATCGATAAAAATTGTGCTATTTTTGCTTTCTTAAACAGTAAAATATTTACATTTTGAACTAAAAACTTCTTTTTTTCGCAAAATGTTGCTAAAATAGGCCTCAAAATCACTAAACTAGATTCAAATTATCGCTCTATTTTGGTCTGTTTCACTGAATTTAGTTTGGTGACCCAAAAATCTACTTTTTTTTTACAACCAAAAACTACCAAGTTAGTGCACCTTTTAAAGCGTTTAAATGTTTTTGAGTTAAAAACTTTTTTTTTGCGAAATTTAAAAAAAAAATGACCAAATAACATTATTTTTGACTTTTTCATTTAAAAATGCACTCTTTTTGCGACATTTTGCTCAAACAAGTCGTGAGATGTTCTAATTAGATAAAAAATGCTGTTTTTTGCCATTTGTGTGTAAAAATCTTAATTGTTTTTTTATCAAAACATTCCCAAAAATTAATTAGGCAAAAAATTATTATATTTCCATCTATTTTCAAGCGAATAAAAATATTTTCGAGCCAAAACTGATTTTTTTCACAAAATTTTGCTAAAATAGCTAAATTAGGGATCGAAAGCGACATTGTTTTTGTCTTTTTTAAGTTAAATTTTACCCAAATAGGCCAAAAAATTAGCATGTTAAGTTGAAAATGGTATATTTTTTAAATATAATTAATTAATTAATTAATATATTATTTTGGCTGAAATTTTTTGCCACTTTCAACAACAAAATTCTAAATTCCATAGTTTTTTACAAAAAAATGTCTTTTGCGTTTTTCGATACAACCCCATTAAAAAACGCACCCCTTTCAAAGGGTGTAGCTCCTTTACAAAACATTTTTTGATACAGATTTATAGGACACTTTTGTCTTAAAATTGAATATTCTTCTACCTGTTCAGATTTGTAACAATAAAAACAGAACATCCTGTATATTACTCATTTTTGAAAATAGTTAATTACTCGAAGTTATGCAACCAATTATACACGAAAATTTACATTGTGTGAGTTTTAGGTCCCCGACGCTTTAACGAAGCGTTTTTCCAACGGCATCGTTCACGGTCACGGTTACTTCGACCAAAAAGCTTCCTCCACGAAACAGCTTTCTATCGAAGTGTCCGATCTCCACGTCGGCGACGACGGCGAACTCCGTCTCACTTGCATGTCAACAATTCCCGGTTACATCAATCCGAACGAAGTTTTTGCCGATGAAAGAAAAACATCAGTTCGAAGTAAGTTGGTGATTACTTCCCATTTTGTCGTAATTGATTGAAATTTTTCTAGTCGAGATTGAAATGACCGAAGGCCCTGTCGAAGCCATCTCCAACAATAACATCTCCTCCAGTTGTCCTCTCCGCATGAGTTCGTATTCTTTCGAAATAATCAACGTGTTTTTTATCGCGCTCTATTACCATCTATAAACTCAGTTTAAATAATTGTTGCGACGTTTTTTTGCCAAAATTTTTTTGGTCGAACTCTGTTTTCTAAAACAAGAACTAGAATGGTGCTGCTAGAGTATATTTTACGCGAAATTGTTCCATTTTTTTAATAGCTTTTGTTGACTTGTGAATTTCATTTATCAGAGAAATATTTTGCTAAATTGTTAGAATAGAATTATGTGTAACTGAAAATTTCCGATTCTCACAAAGTCGGCGACGTCTAATGAAATCCAATCAGAGAACCGGATTTTATTGGATAGGCGGCATTTCCTACTAGAATTTCGATTCGAGACAAATTCGGAGAATATTTCACCGAAATAAATAAAATAAAGCAGCTTTTAGCAGGGTATAAAATACAACATAAAAATACAAAAAATGGTACGGTTGTCACTTTTTTTTAATCTATTTGAGTATAGAGTAAGTGGCATTTGAATAAAATGAGTCACGTTTCATAGAATTATTTAATGTGAGTGAAGTTACATCTAAAAAATTGACAACGTATATCTCACTTTTGACTCATTTTATACAAAAGACACTTAACATTGTTACAAACTTTGTTTAGTTTATAAAAAATTTAATATGAAGTGTACATAAATATGTGTGAATACAATGTATCTATTTAACTGGAAAAAATGCACACTTTTAATATTAATTTGTAAAAAAATCGAAAGCCTAATTTGCACTGTACTTATTTATTTTTAAGGACTATCGGGACGCTCATACTAGTCGCAAAACTGGTGATAATTTTTTATTCTCTCGTCAATTAAATAAAAACAATCAATTTTATTTTATTACACAAGAAACAAAAGTATCCAAAGATATATTTTTCTCGCACAGATTTTTATATAACTAAATGTTTATTTGTTTTTTAAAAAGTAATAATTGTTTCCTAGCTGTTGGATGAATGTTTATTGTTTAGTGTTCAAAAAATATGTCTTTCTTTACTTTATCGACGTGGTGTTATTACTATATTCTGATTTTATTTATTTATTTATTTTATTCTGAAACAATCAAGTAAACAATCATTTTAAAATAAGTAGCTAAAATCTGTACCGAATTGCCGTGAGGTTGCAGTTGCTAAGCAACTGAACTGAACGACACGTCAATGGCAATTCGAAACAAATATTAACCTGTTATTTCGAATTATTTTGCAGTTTATTAGTTAGAAAAGGGATCAAAAATACAAAAAACAACTGAAAGTCAATCATAAGAGTCAATATAATAGGAAACATCTGCAAAATAATTTGTAATAATGCATCTGGGAAACTAATAATTAATATATCAGCAAAATGGCGCTAAATTTAAATCTAAATTAGAGTATTTTTGGTTCAAATTTTGTCATGACTAGACTAGAAATGAAAAATCGCAAATTTGACGCTACTACGATAGTCTTATATTAGGTAAATAGCTTAAATGACTGTTGATAGAACAGTTCGCGGGCTATTATGGCCAAAAATGTCTTCCTTGAAAAAGCTATTGTCTATTATAAAGATAAGGGAGCAAAAATTGTCACTTCGAGCTAGAAAAATGTTTTATTTCGTAGCCCCAAAAACACAGAAATGACTGAACAAAATCGCACTTATGATTTGTAGGGTTTTGGAGCACTTATTAAAATCCAGGCAAATTTTAATCTCCGACTACAGTACGCCCTAAGCTCGTAGATTTGACAATAAATTGCTTTAATTTAGTGTTAATTTTTTTCGGATTTTTACCGAAATCCGAAGAAAATTTATAAGTTGTAAATATACGTGTGAGATGTAATTGTATGATGATTACTAAATGTTTTACGACGACTATCTGATAATAAATTAATTATGTACTAAACAATTTTACTACACCCTCAAACTACAATTATTAATTATTATTTATAATTTCTTAGAAAACACGTGCACGGAAAAAAAGAATTTTCCAAGCAGCCTTGAAGGTTTGTAATTAAGCATGGTATTTTATCTAATTACTTAAAACGTTATTACGGGTATTTTTTAATAATTAATGGTTGTTCCTTATTTCTGTAAATGTAGTCACGATAATGGCGCCGCCTACAAAATCAATAGTTCGTGTAGACCATGGTTGCTTTATCTAACCGGCCATGTTTCACAATTTTCAAATTTGTTGAAATGTCACTTGTCAAAAATAAACATTGAGAAAAAACACAATTACAAAATAAAATGATACACTTTGTGTAAAATTATCATCAATAATGTCTTTGGTGAGTGATTTTGTACTTGTATCGTGTAACACTTGCGTGACTGCGTACTTTGTGACCAATTTTTTTTGAGGTTGTGTTTACTCAAATGTTGCAGAAAGCGTGCCCCCTGTGCCAGAAAAAACTGTCCTTGAAACAAGTCAACTACAATTTGGCTGTCTACATATGCGAGGACTTGAAGTGCAAATACCCGGTCGGTTATGACTGCATTGTTGTTGAACGCAAATTGGAAAATATGCACGAAAATCCCACTGAAAATGAGGATTTGGACGATTGGATTGAGGACGTTGTTGACTTGGTTGAAAACGAATCAAAATCTGATGAAAATAGCACGAGAAACGACTCAAACGACTGGATCGATAACCTTGTGGAGGAAGCTGTGAAAGACGCGAAAAAAGTCACAAATGAGGTAACCGGGAATTACGACGCTAATGACTTTGACGAGATTTTAAATTTGATATGTGGGTGAAAAAAAATACGATCTAACTTGTATTATTTATTTGTGAAACAAATCTATGGTTAACATTTGGAAAAAATAAAAAATGCACTATAAAATCACAGTTAAATACTATACATCCAATTATTGCTATGGAAGATAAGTCGTCCAGCAAATGTTCTTTAGCTACAGTATTACAACACAAAGCCAAAGTAAACACCTACTACTAATTATTCAAGCTAAAACATTTAAAACAATGTAAAGTAAAACTATCCCGAAAGAATAACTAAGTACAATAAGTGAGATTATTCAGATTGGCAACGGAATCGTAATGTGCCGGGAGTGTCTTAAGAGCGTCTTCCCTTGTCCGTCCCTCAGAACAGTTCAAGGGCTTCGCCCTGTTTGTATCGACACAGTCAATCGGCATCTTAATTGTCTCCATATTGTAGTTATAGCCCTGCAAAGTTAGCTTGATGATGGTGTGGAGGGGCACGTGGATGTAGGGGATCTCCTCAATGGGGGTGTCAAGAAAGTAGGCCAAAATACAGCGCAGGACGGCTTGATGAGAGATCGTGAGGACATTCGATTCGCATTCCAGTTGATTAAGAACTGGGACTACTCGTCGCATCACGTCCAAATAAGACTCGCCTTGGGGGTACCGATATTTGAGTTTCTCGTGGTCTCGACGGGCCAATTCACGAGGAAAGCGGTCTTGGAGCTCCTCGTAGGTCAAATTCTCGCAATCGCCCTGTACAAACATGTTAAATTTGGCCCCAAATGGGAGTCTTTGTTACTCACTGAATAAATTTCGTCCAATTCGGATAGGTGTTGTTTGGGGGCGTTGATGTGAGCACTGGTGGCTTTAGTCCTCTGTAATGTCGATGTCCACACTTGTAAAGAAGGGAGGTTTAAAGCGTGGATGTGTTTTGCCAAACACTGGGCATACATGCGTCCCCGGGGTGACAAAGGGGCGTCTCCTCCAATTTTCCCAAGGACGTTAAACTCACTTTCGCCGTGCTGTAATAACCCCAAAATTAATCAAAATTTCGCATCAAAAAAACTGAACGTACCCGACTGAAATATAAAGTTTGTTGGATGGGCTTAGGGGTTGAGATGTACCCCAAAATTTTACTCTCTTTCGTCCCTACAACCCCATGAGCGACTACGCCCCCTTCACCGCTATCCAAAACTTTGATCATGGGACAAGACAACTCCCAGTGACTCCCCAAGGAAGGACTTTCGTATTGTGCCTTGTAATGGGCCATTTTTTGGGTTAGGTCTTTGAGGGCTTCTTCCGTAGCCATGTCACAATAGTCTGCACTGTATTGGAGAATTTCCTGTCAAAAAATTTAGTTACACGTTCACCATTTTTGGGATACGACTTACTTTAAAATTGCGTTCGAGTAAAACCGGGTCTTCGCAAACGCACTCAATAAACATGACCCGGAAGCCCAATTGATGGTAAACCAAATCGTAGATTTCTTCACGTTGGGCACGCGAGACATTAGGGCCGTCTAAAATTGCGACGTGGTGGTTGGGTTCTTGGAGCCACGAAGCGGCGTCTTCGAGGGCTTCCCGGAAACTCTGTTGGCGAATACGCCATGCTGGGAGGTTGTCAGCGCGAAAAATTTCATGCGAGGCGTAGGTTTTGAGGTGTTTGCGACGGTAGTCGCTGATGTCGTACACTGGAAAAAAATCTAGATCAGTTGTTTGTTTACTATCTTATCGTTTGGTGATTAGGTTGCAAAAACACTCTGCAAAAATCGCATGACAATCTGGGTGAAATTTGGGCAAAAATAATGTAATTAGAGCCCATTTTTCAATTTTCTGGACACCTTGGGTGATCCTTACCTTTGCACACGTCTCCAGTGTAGTTGAGATACCGGGACAACCTCTTCGCCATAAGGCTCTTCCCTCGTCCCGGCAGCCCCACCATGGCCACCATCAAGGGGGCGAATTGTCTCAAAGGAGCCCTTTTGGGTGCTTGAGCGCCTGTGTAATAAAAACAACTTGTATCTTCCATACTTTGCGATAGACTGATTGATTGTGAATAGAATCATCTTATCAGGAAAATTTTTGAAAGGTTATCAACTATTTTTAGTCGTTGTTGTGTTAGGGCAAGATTGCACGAATAAATTACTTGTTGGGTCATAAAAAAATTATTGAATTATTTCGATACAATAAATTCGTCTCAACTTTCTCTTTTTCCGTTTGGAAAAATGGGTTTAAAACGGGTTTTGAGTGGGTCAGTGGTCGTAAAAATAGAATTGATCTTTGGCCGAAGCAGACGCCAAATGGACCAATTTAGAAATGTCATGTTTATGTTAATCGTCAAAGTCCACTGTTGGAATCACCAAATTAATTTATTTGTTGCTGATAAGTGATAAGTGGCAATGACCACTGATTTTAATTTGCCAAATGGAAGTTCGAGAAAAATATTTTTGGCTTTGTCCTAGTGTCGAATTTGCGCAATTAGACACCCGTGTGGGTTATGTAATTAGTTGTAATTTTACTTGATTGAATTTAGTTAATTTCTGTATTTACTACGGGGGCGAAGTTCGATTCGGAATTATGTTTAGATAAGAAAAATCATCGGGTGATCGCAGACACTGCACTGAAATAAATATAAATAGTTATTATTTTTTCTAGAAACGAGTGATGATGAAATGACTTGAGTGTCACATTCACGTGGATTTAAGTAATTAAAAATCGTTTAGATTTTTCTTAGTAATTAAGTAACTGCAAATGACACCAATTTTCTCTTTTTATGTGATGAAAAATAATCATCAATGATAAACAAGCGTTATGTAAGGAATTTGTTAAGACAAGTAAAGTAGCCGACCTTGGAAGTCGGGTTTAAATGGAGTAAAAAATGCTTGTGACAAAAGGTCTTTGTGTTGTGGCCTTGTAATAACAAAGCGATTTAACAGAATCATTTAGGAAAATTCCTTTTTCTATTTTTCAAAAGTTAAATGTTTAAAAAATGCGGAAAATACTAGAATTTGTCTACCTACCATCTTGACAGAAACAAATGAGAACTTAACACATGGAAAAATTGACATTTCTTTCTTTTCAAAAATAGACATACGAAAATGAGGTAAAACCATTTTTAAAGACAAGGGTTTACTTTACATCTCATGTTTTACATTAGCGTACCAACACCCTAAAATATTCCTTTTGAACAAACAAAAAATGATTTTAATCCTGAAAAAATCCACCAACCGGTTGTGTTGAAAAACAAAATTGTGAATAAATCTCGGTAGTAAGCGTAATTAATATTGCCTTAACAATTTTCTTTAATGTACTTCAAGATAATTACTTGTTTTGTTGTCTCAATTAATATGTTGCTGCAACAACATGTTGACGAGAGGAAAATTGCCAATGGAATGCAATTTTATTTTGAGCAAAACATGTCAATAAGATAAGAGGAAAATTTTATTGTCATGTATTTTTGTCCCAAAATTCTTATCTACATACAGGTGCGCCAGAACTCGCGCCCCAGAGAAAAATGCCATATAAGGTAAGATACCAGGAACATGGAAAAAATGTTAAAAAAAAATTATCTATAAAAATTTCGAAGTTATGAGGGTTTAAAGTTTGCACTTTGACTATTTATTTCTGTTGGAAAAATAATTTTCCGTTTTTTTGCTATAGGCTATTAAAAGAGAAAACAAAGAAGGTGTATCCTAAATTGTAACTCTGTTCAATGTTATTTGTGGCTTTTATTGGCAAAATTTTTGTCCCTTTACTAAATAATGTAAAAAACATACAAGATCATCAATATCATTAAACAGACATAAAAATGTCAAATGTCAAAAAATAAATGTCAAAATTTTTTGATAGAATTTTTTAAACATTCTTTTCATGTTCCTAGTATCTTACCTTCCTTGAAAATTTTCTCTGGGGCGCGAGTTCTGGCGCCCCCTGTATAACGTAACTAAAAATTTTTTTTTGTTTGTATGTTATAATGGTAATTTCATGCCCATTACAACAGATTATCTAGCTGTTTATCACTCTTATCACATTTTGAAGAGTGAAGTATGTATTTGTGTTTATTCTTATCAGTGACATAAATAATAAAATGTAGTTTCTAGAAGACAAAACAACACATTTATAGATTATTGTTCCATAAAAGTGAATTAAAAATTTGGAGCGTTGCCACTTGAGAATTTGCTCGAAATTGAACAAAGCCACTTAAGACGTGATAAAAATAAGTTTAAACGAGTTGAATGACCATCTATTAATTTAAAATAAGTGTGAAATTTAACAAAATGCCGGAATAAATATTTATTTCCTGTATAATTATTTGAATAGGTGCCGATAATAAAATATAGTGTACGACGCATGCGCTTCCATCGATTGCATGAATAGGAAGCAAATAAAATAAAGGTATTATAGGTATAGGTATTTATTTTGAGAGTGCGGAAATATGAAATTGAAGGTTTTTCCGTGTTTTGGTTAATAAAATTTCCTGATTTAAATAAAATTTATTTGTTTTTGTTGATGCGTTGTTGCCACACTCACCTTTCGGCTCGTCATTTTTGCCGTTCCTCTTGTTGATTGAATCCATTTCGATGTTCGGTTGTAAAATTGTAGAAAAAGAACACTTTTTGAATGAATTTCGACACTCTACTCTTACGAACGACTCAAAAAAATAATCCAAACACACTCCGAATCACTCCACCACAGAAAAATAATAAAAAAAACGGTAAAAAAATACAAAAAAAACAACGGAACAACTAAATGTCGATCGCTCCCTCTGAAAAATGATCTGAAGACGTATGTATAATAAACTTTTTCAAGATGTGTCGCATTCCAAGTCTATATCTGATTTCAGTCGCCAGATTTACGGACTTTTGAACACTCTCAACGAAAATCAATGCGATATTCCACCGCAAATTACGTCTTCCAACATTTATACACGCGGAGTTATCTTTTTTGTGTTTCGTTCACCGTAACCACAACCACTTCTCGCACGAACCACGGCTCAAATAAACAGAGACAACCCGGTTTTGTATAAATACGATCGATGTAGGCTACGACCAGCGCGTAGAGATAAGGTCGAGCCATAAATAAACGCCGATAGGTGGGCTCACTCACGAGTCTTATAACACTAATGCCCCAATATTGATCTAAACGAACAATAAACAATTGTGAAACAATGATTCTTTAAAGTACTTAGTAGCCAAAATACGGAATTGTTGCACTTTTGGCACTTTGACAGGTCACATGCTTAGAAATTTGGCGCTCTTTTTTGAATTTTTTGCATTTTTTTGTCAAATTCGTGACTAAACCTTTGTCCCGTTTCGAAATTTGTTAGATTTGCCAGGTTATTTCTGGCAGGACTTTGGACCTTAAATCCCACCAATCTGTCATCTTATTATGTACTTATATATTATAGTCTAGAATTAAATTGTTTCATATTAAATCATAAAAATAATTTTATTGTTGACTTTATCAGTTAGTAATTTAGCAAAGCTTTTAATTATAGTTTGTTTATTTACGTTGCGTTTTTTTTTACAAAAATTCCATGAATCGGCATTGTTTGTTGTTTTTGTTTTCTAGCAGTGTGCAATCTTTATTAATTAAACGCAATATGATTGCGTTTATGGTATTAATTAAAAATTCTTATAGTGACGTAGGCAACCAATTATACAGTTGTACACACTTTCTATAAATAATCTAATTATCAAGAAAACTTGTACAAATTTTTCCACATTGTTATTTAAGTAGGACACGGTATTGATAATTGCGAGCAAGTTGATATTTTTTATACGTTTGAAATATTACTATGATTTTTATTTTTTTATATGTTTATTTCATAAATTAAAGAATTTCATTTTTAACAGTTTTTTATTATGAATAAATAATTTCACTGAGATTATTACTACTAAATAACATTTTACCGTAGCTGTTACTAAAAGACTATCTTGGAAAATAAATGAAAAATCGTAGTTGACTGACTTTTCTTAATAAGATTTTGACGTATTTGCCACATAAAAGGCACTTTACTCTACAAAAAAAATTGTTTTTTTGAAAATTTTCAAGGCAAACTTGATTTTTTAAAACTAAAGTTACATTAGAAATTAGTCTTAAACCAAGCGCAGCTGAAACTCAAAAAATAAAAATTTAAATCGAAATTATTTTATTTTTTACAAGAGTCGTTTCACCTATCCGGGGACACACTGTATACAGACATTTTTTTATTAGTTTAGTCTCGGCATAGGCAACCAATATTACAAAGTGTTTAAAATCGCTAAATAAAAGACAAACTTTTAAAAGCAACAAAGTAAATGTAATTAATTATTAATTAAAAAAAAATTAAAACCTATCAAAACATGAAAAATATTTAATAATTAAAGCAAGTGTTCAAAATGCCTTCCTTGAAGTTCCAAACAATAACCCCCGCAATTTTGAAAACCCTGCCACTGCATTCCTGAAAATTCAGGATCTACAGGGTTATTCATAAATATGAAGCAATATTTGAACCTCAAAAATGACCTATAAAATGATGTTAATTTAAATAATAACTCGTGTCCTATCTCTACTGATAAGAATTTTACAGCCCTCGGAATGTGGGTATGGAAATTTGATTTTTTTGTAATAACTTTAGAACTATTTGACCAAATATTATAAAATTTGGAACATTTCCCTGTGACAACATACCCTTTAAACTGGTAATCACGAAAACCGGATACATCTACTCAATTTCCGGTTCCAGCAGTTGCAAATCACATTTTCTGTGTTATTTAATTTTTTTGGCCGCTTAACATTAATTTTTTATTCCCAAAAACAATAAAGTAATCAATTTTGAATAAAAAACACCTAACCTTTAATACCCCTAAAATGAACCGTTTTAAAGATATTTTAATTTAAACTGAGGACTGCACAACGCTGAAACCAAAAAGTAGGGATTTTGAATGGATGATATCCACGGTAACAAATGACCATGGTCTCACTAATCGCTGTCAGGCATCTGTCAACTTTGACATTGGACGATTATTAGACAATTAATCGAAAATATTTAATAAAAGAGTTTACCTCAGATTCCAAACATAACTTAGAATAAATCCAAATGGATCTCGTAGCATTTAATTCATAAAAAATTCACAAAAATTTATTGTCAAAGTTAACAGATGCCTGGCAGGGATTTATGTGACCATGGTCATTGGTTGCCGCGGATACCATTTATTCAAAATCCCTATTTTTTGATTTCAGCGTTGTGCAGTCCTCAGTTTAAATTAAAATATCTTTGAAACGGTCCATTTTAGGAGTATTAAAGGTTATGAGTTTTTTAATCGAAATTGATTACTCTATCGATTTGGGCAATAAAAAATGGGTGTTAAGAGAGCAAAAAAATGGAAAAACACAGAAAATGTGACCTGCAACTGCTGGAACCGGAAATTGAATGGATGTATCCGGTTTTCGTGATTACCAGTTTAAAGGGTATGTTGTCACAGGGAAATGTTCCAAATTTTATAATATTTGGTCAAATAGTTCCAAAGTTATTACAAAAAAATCAAATTTCCATACCCACATTCCGAGGGCTGTAAAATTCTTATCAGTAGAGATGGACACGAGTTATAATTTAAATTAACATCATTTTATAGGTCATTTTTGAGGTTCAAATATTGCTTCATATTTATGAATAACCCTGTATATTATTAGATTCTGTACGAATACGTTCTTTCAACTCTTCTAAATTTTGCATTGGAACATTAGTATAAATTTTTATTTTTAAAAACCACCAAAGAAAAAAATCGTTAGGTGCCAAGTCTGGCGATCGTGGGGGCTCCCGATTCACCTTCAAGATTGACACTTGACAAACTTAACACAAAATTTTAGTTTTGAATATTTTAATATCTAGTACCCTCTAAAAGCTTGAAATGTTGGTCGCCTATTTTATGAAATTGACCCGGCTTTTTTAACTCTATACATAGGACTATGTATGCTAATAAAAAAAATGTCCCTGTATGTATTCACAAAATCTAAATACAGCTAATTTTTCTCGTTGTGTTAGGGTCGTCCAGATCGTTGTTTTCGGAAACTAGTTTTATTTTTTATTTTGAATTTGAAAGTAATTGCGGCTTCAGTAGCGCAAGCGTCTTCATAACAAAACGACTGACTAGTGGCTGATACCAACATGACAACACTTTGACAATTGTTTTTAAAAAATGGACTTTATTTACTGTTATCTTCTTTGTTACAAAATTTGAAATTTTGCCAACAAAAATGTATTGCGAGTTGCATAACTGCTAGTTGTAAGCTGTAATCATTTGTGTATTATGTGTTGCCTATATTAAGAATTGATTGAACCAGTGTTAATTATTATTTATTATAATTTTTTTACATTTTTTTTTCACACATTTACTACGGTTTCATTGTTGTTGTCGCTGTCAGTGTTGCAACTTTCTTCTTCGTAACAAAGTACAAAGCAATAAATGTAACAGCGATTACACCAACTACCAGTAACAGGCAAATGAGTAATCTTTTAACACTAACAAAAAAGAGTTATTAATCTTTGAAATTAGTCAAAGGGAAAATCACTTACTTGAGAAGAATACAACACATTTTTGTGTTTGAAGTTAAAAAAGTAATTACCAAGTTTCACACAAAACTGTCATAAAAAAATAGAAATGTACGTGCCTGACATTAGAGACAAATATGGGTAAGTTTAACCGATTTTCATCCAATTTTTTACACTTTTTTTAACAGAAAGTTGGAATTTTTCAATGATCGGAAATGTACCATAGTTTCCACCCTTGTTTTAATAGTTCTTCTAATTATTCTTGTTATAGTGATAAACACTTGTCATTGAAACAACAGTTGTTGCAAAGGTAATAGAATATATTTTCTCAATAAATGAACAAACACACAAGCCCCGAAAAGTTATTTAGTTGTTTTCAATTGTCTGAAGAAAGGTTTCACACTCATTGATAATTTTCTCCAACCTTTCCTTCGTTGCTGAAGTCTGATGGGACTTCAATTTTTCTTTGGACGTTTGGATTGTGCAACGGTATCCAGTCACATTATGGAAAACTCGAATGTACTTGTCTCCGGTCGTCAGCACATATTTTCCCATCGCATCAAAGAGAAGCGAGGTGATTCTCCCTGAAAACACCCATAACTCACCCACGCTCCCATAAACTACCGTGACCTTTACCTGCATAAATATTGTCAATTGTATAGTCGTGATGACCCGTCAGAGTCGAATAGAAAGCCAGAGAATTGCCACAGGCGATAGCAACAACTTCAGCGTTAGGTGAAAGGCCAATAAGTGAGTAATTCCCGACATGGTAGTATTTCCCCGTGATTTTTAAACGCGGATCTTCGCCTTTCTTATACTCGACTAGAAAAATAAATGTCCTATACCAATCGGAGAAAAAAATGCAAAATTCTCACTTTTCGTATCGAAAACCTTCCAAGTGCCATCTTTAGACACTGTGGCCATGTGGGACGAATCCGCATCGAAAGCCACATCATAAACCCCCGACGAATGTCCCGTCAGGTCAAAAACACGTTTGATTTCCTGAAATTCGCCGGTTTTCGAAAAAATCACCTCCCAGACTCGAGCGTCTGGCGCGAAACCTTGAAAAAAATGACTCATTTTTCGGTCAAATTCCTCGTGAGTGAGTTCTACCTGACGCCACCACGAATTTACCACATGGTGAAATTTTCGCACAAGTGGTTGTCATAAGGTAGGTGTCAGTCTGGGCCAAAATCTGGCCTTTCAAGTCCCAGATGACCAAGTCCGTTTTATTGGAACACGACATGATGTATTTGCCGTTACTGGCGATTCCCATGCCGATGACGTCGGTCTCGTGTGCCTGGAAAACATGATTCATTTGTTACGTGGCCGGAAAGTAGCTTTTCAATTAATTATAATGGAAAAATATGTGTTTAGTCCGAGTTGAAAATTTCGATATAGACCTTAGGGAACGTCAAAGCTTTGGTGGCGTGTCCCAACCAGCCGTCTTTCTTTTTCTCGATTTTGTACACTTCGATCGCATTTTCGTTGTACTTTTGTATGATGAAAGCCTTGGAATCGGGGCTCCATTTGACGAAAGTCGGATGATCGAATTCGACGTTCACCCGGAGGTTTTTGACGTCTTTTTGCGTCAAATCCTTGGAATCCCATAGTATAACGGCACGATCTGGAAACAAGAGAGTGCAAGGTGTTATGCTGGGGACAAATCAAGTCGGCTGGTGTCAGTGCTAGTCATTTTTATAAATAATCGTGGTCTGTTTGGTTTCGTAACACCACCTGCCCACGCAAGTGTTATTTTTGTCACGGTTTAAGTGCATCCAACTTTCTAAATAAAAAAAAAACAGTAACTGGTGATAAAAACTCTTATCAATGTGTGAAGAAAGTGCAGAGAAATTTCTTCATATGGAAGTTTAGACCCCTTACATGTTGATTTTAATTCGTTCTATAAATAGTCTGCTTTCACCACTTTCACTTTCAATTTTTTGGTTATCACATGTCAGGTTTTTTTGATTGGAGTGCATCTTAATTTCTCCGACTTTCACCCAAATAAAACACAAATTAATTAAAAAACGGTTTATTAAAAATAGATACAACTGTATCACGTTTCAACACAGCCTTTTTGCCTATTTTTATCATATTTTCATATTATTTTTTTAACAAACAACAAAACAAATGAACACAAATAACTTAAGTCTACAAAATAATACTATTTCACAATAATCGAGTGGCAAACTGGCTGAATTACAATACGTACAAAATGTAAAAAAAGTTGCTAGGAACTTTAAGACTTAACCACTTTGTACACTTACTTAAAATAATTACGTCCTTATTAAGTAATCAAAAACATAAAAACTTGCATTGATTCCTGCGTAAATATCACTTAATGAGATTCACTAGGAACACGATATCACAATAATGACAAATGACGCGTTTAATAAATAAAACATGATAAAATGTCACATGATTTTATAACCTTTATTTTCTTTCCTAACTTTGTACAACATCAACTCCATGCAGGCGCAAGCGTCCTCGTAACTGTTATGGGGGCCACTTTGAATCTCGCGTTTCAAAAACGTGGACACCAGAGATCTCAACGAGCGCTTATACGGGAGACCGTTGTAATGGGGAAAAGACCAAGCGGTATCCACAACAGTCTTGTGCACAAGTTTGAGGGCCCTTAGGTCGTTTTCAAGACCATGGCCTATTAGAATACTATCAGCACTGATAAACCCCCTCATATCATTTTGCACTTCTTTGAGAGTTTTTGTAGCACTCGGCTTCAAGTCCTTCGCGGTAATCCCCGAAAATCGGGTGTTGTAATCAACGATTTCATTTTTGGGCTTGACATAAGTATCATACACCAATCGGCCATCCATTGCCACAACTGTGACTTTTGTCACTTCCAACCCCGCGACGGTGTAACACATTTCACAATCGAGGGCATACACCCCGTAGTTGCCATCACTCGGGATCGACTTCTTTTGTCTCGTCTTGACGAAGCCCTCACAGGGGCCGTTAATCCCACTAACTACTCCGCTCCACACGTGGAGTTTGCACGTGGCACAGCCGACCGAGCCCGGCTTGCCCTTACAACACGAGTAAGTCGCGAGTGCATCAACAGTATGCAACTTCCCCCAATGATAATTGCATCTCTCCTGAGTGAGATACTCTTTATTGGTGGTGAAAAAGCCGCGGCCGCACCTCACACAGGTCCGTTCAATGCCCTGGTCCTTCGAAGGGTCGTAGTCTGGTTCGGAGCCCGAGCTCTCCGATTCGCTCGAATCGCTCGAACTATGGCTGTCGTAGCCGCCCCCATTGGGGACGAATTCTCTCGCGTTGACGTCGAATCTCGGTGGCCTGAAGTGGCTATAATTGAAGAAAACGACCGAATTGTTGTGCGACGGCGAATGCACGGGGTACCCCATCACAAACAGCTGCTCGTAGGTGAGCAAATGAGGGTGTAACAAGTCGGCGAATGCACGCTCTGATATGTTAAACTTGAGGCACTGCCTCAGAGGTTCCGTTTTGAATTTTTTCTTGGCGTCGGGGGAGTTAGGACGACGGTTTTTCCGTTGGCGGCGCGATAAGCCCTTGCTGCGAGGGCTGGATTCCACCGGGAGATTCTCCTTGTTCGAATCGGGGTTCATCTCGGGAGGGTCTTCTGTACACAAAATAATTAACGCTAGAGGTGTGCAAGAAAATTGACTGGCTAATGTCTCAAAAACTATACCCGGTTTACTGAAGTTTGGGGCGTATAAAATATCAAAATATCGATCGATCATTTAGAAATATCTAACCCTTCTCAGCTCTTAATTGGGTAGCACAAAAAAAACATTTATTTAAAAAAAATTAAAATGTTGTCACAAATTCCTCGCTTTTAAGGATTTTCACAAATAAATCACTTGAAAACATTTCGAAAAACCTAACCAATGCAAATTTGACATTTCCAGTATTATTTTGAGAATTATTAGTTAAATTAAAATGCATCTTCAGGTTTTGGAATAATTAACCAAACAAGCTTCAGTCACAATCATTGAAAAGTGGTTATGAATGTCATTGATTAGTATTCGTTTAAAAAGGACATTTGGCGACCACTTCTGTAATTAAATCAATTTTTTTCGTTTCCAATCCCTAATTTTTTTTTTCACTGTCATTCAATATTTTTTGAATAATGTGCGACACTGGTGCTTCGTCCAAGTGTTGCTATTTCGTTTATCATATACTCGTTTCATAACTCGCGCCCTAGAGAAAAATGCCGAATCAGATAAAAAAAAAAATTATCAACAAAATTAGAGTCAAAATTTAAACCCCCCAAAAATTTGGAAATTCTTATGAATACAATAGTTCCTTACTTAGCATTTTTCTCTGGGGCCCGAGTTGTGAAACATCCTGTTTAAAGTTTACAAACATATTCACGTTCCAATAAACTGATGAAACAATTCGCTAAACGCTGTAAAAAAAAACAAAAAAATAGGAAAAAAAAACGAACATGGTATGAATAAAATTCGAAAGATACAAAAAGCACAAAAAAAGGAATTATACCCTGTTTAAAATCTATAGAATAGTAAAGTCCTTTGGCCATGAATTTGTCACTAGGGTACAACTATAAAACTGATTTTTCTTTTATAGAGAAAGTTTCTATTTGACCTCAAAAATGCAGTTGCAATATTGCAATTCTTCGTCTAATTTGAAAGGAGATTTAAATGAAATATAGCAACGACATCATTTTCAACGAAGATCTATAATTTAATAATAACTGAATTTTAAAATTAGATTACTTCAGTGGCGTAACTGAAATAAAGAAATTGGGAAAATGAAAAACACCAATTGAGTGACAATTTTGAGGACATGAAATTTTTCTTGTATTTCTTAATTTGAACTTTACTTTCCAGTGGCGTACAATTATTTGTTATTGTTTAACGAAAAGAGTTAAAAAAGAAGCGGAAAACTTCCAAATCATCCTAATGAAGAATGAAAAGTTAAAATTTACAAATTATTTCAACGCGCCATTTTATTATTTTAATATTAATAATGTAACCTTGATATCTATGGCTTTTTTATAATTTGAACTCGTAAGGACAACACAAGTAATTAAGAAAGTTGGCGTATAAATAATATAATTATAATAGAAGATTTAAATAATTTTTACAAGATAATATAATCTTGTGATAAAATCGTAGTGTGTGTACGATCTGGGAACAATTTAACGCACAATAAAGCCAAAATAACAATAATAAAAGTAGTAATATGATGAAAACTGCCGTCTTTTCTCGATATTTTGATATTTATGAAGTTTGATGTATTGATGTGTTTCTAGCCTAGCACTGCACCGACACCAGCACGGGTGACATGGGGGCCCACCTACCTTCGGCACAAGACGCTAGATATTTCCCGGAGGCCGAATAATCGATGTTGAGTACTTGTCCCGTGTGGCTTTTGAGCGTTTTGAGCAGCCACGGATTGGTGAAATTTTGCGGTTTATCAGAGCGGTTCCACGTGGGTTTTTTCTTCGATTTAGCGACGGGATCTCTCTTTGGCCCCGACACTGGCTCATCTGGAATAAAAACATGGTAAATCCTCACAAAAATTAACCTCAAAAAGCACGTGACAAATGACATTTCGGCAAACAAATGAACGCTCCACCGGTAGGTATACTCACTTTGATGCTGTTCGTCGTGCTCGATTTTGAACAATTTTAAAATATAAAATAGCAATAAAACACTCCCGCCGAAAAAAATCGCGACGAGAACAGTCGGACTACTCAAAAAACCCGCAACAATTTTCTCCATTTCGTTTTCGGCAAAATCCAGCGCGCTACTGACTCGTATAGGGGAATTGGCGGCGCATGCGCTTTAAGTTGGCAACACTCTGGCGGTCCTTTTCGAATTTCATACGTGTTTTGCGCGTTTTTTCGATATTATGGGGCATTATCACACGGGAATCCATTCAATTTTCGCGAAATTCACTCGACGAAAACTAGGGGAGAACTGAACGCGCGCGCTGGACTCGACGCGGTATATACCTCTTTCTTTATGTGACGTGTCCTCGTATGCGCGGATACTTACATTTACACATTGACGAATTTCGGAGACAGTTGGGGGGCTCAGAAGCGTTCACTAAATGCATCTGATGAGTTGTGACCATTCGGAGGCACTTAAAACAACTCACAACTAATTCCGTTTATTCAATGACGCATTCAAGTTCCGCAGATACTTATTATAATGATGCAAACATACAGGGAAATACGCAACGTTACATTTAATTTGCGGGAATACGGGCGCGATGGGGGATTCCCGAACAATTTTTGGGGCAAATCCAAAATGTTAATCAAAATAAACTAGCATCTTCCGCCCTCTTTAATGAGGAGAAAAATGACAAAAATCAATTTTAAGCACAATTATTTGTCATTTCAGGAAGTTATTATTTAAATTAACAAGTTGATCTTAACGATTTGTAAACAAATTCATACTTAGAATGCAAAAAAATTAGTCTTGGTGTTGCTATGCATGAAATGATCGTTTAAAGTCATGTTTTTGCTTAATTTTGAAATAATCGAGTTGGCCATTACTCTATTTGAACAAATGTCAAATTTCGATTGTTTGACGTAATGCTATTCTTTTATTTTTTTTTTTAGATAACTCGATCTATAGTTGGCACTTTTGATCAAAGGTTACTTGGTTTCATTTTTGGTAAATTTCCAAAGCCTTCTTCGTCTTTCAGGTAAAACATCAAGCTGTGACGGTTTGAAATTAGTTATGGGAAGTAACAGTGATGTTCTTTTGTTACTCCGAAAATAACCTTTCGCCAGATTTGTTGTGAAAGTTCCATGATAAACACGGCTTTAATCCGCTTGAGTTTCGACTTTTCAATTCGAAAAATTCCCTCATTTTTAATACAATTAAATCGAATTTTTTGTTGCTCGGACCATGAAAATAATTAATGGAAATATTTTACGTATGATTTTTATTTATAATGAACCGCAAAAACACACAAAAACGTGTTTTTATTTGAAAATTTCAGAAAATCCCAGAAGGCTAGGTTCGCAAGTGTCATTGATGATGCTGACTTATTTTTTCACCATATTTGGGCAAAACGTGTAGAAAAGTAAATATTATTAAAATTTAATTTGGTATTTGATGATCTTTTCACAATAAACAAATCGTAAATATTTACTCAAAATTTCTAATTTTATTGCGTACAAGTCGTAAAATAATTTGTATAAATCGCGGTTTGCCACGTGTCATTTGAGCGAGGTTATGGTCGCAGTGGCCAACTATGATCTTCCCTTATCTGGTGGTGATAAAGCGTTGATATCTTCGAACAAAGCTATTGTTTGATTTTTTGAGGTTAACGATAAGGCATCAACGACCTTAGGAACGTTTTTGTAATGCGTCCTTTGTCATAGACCCAAACTCAGGAAATTGCGGTACAAAGAAAACAAAGCTTCAAACAAAATATATTTGGGGGTCTTTTGGGGTTTTATATCAATGGAAAATTACCAACATGACCATGATTACTCGCGTATCGATTGTTTTTCCACCATTAAATTGTCATAAATAAATATTTGATTAATTGGGTTTTAGTTACAGTTGACGTGGCTTTGGTGCGAGACTAAATCGTAATTTTCTAGTTTTTTTCGGAATTTATTTCATAGAATGACATTAACACCGATTCGTATAGGTCAAAATATGATATAATTTGAATATTTATTGCTTATCTTTGGAAACTTTATTTGAAAAAACCGTTGTTTTAAGGTTGTTACTACTATTATGAGTCATATTAAAGTGCAGTAATATTCACGGTCTAGTGGGCTGGGTCATTGACAGTTTCTCGAAAAAAAAAAGAAAATCGCGGCGACTTTAATTACGCCTCAGGCTGTACACGAAAGAGTTGTTTCGTCGGGTTGGTAGAACCTAATGCGAAATTCAAACAAATTACTGAGTTTATCACATATGCGACCTTTTTATCGTTTGTCAAGGCTCACACATGATTTGCCTTCGAAATAAACGAGGAAATCAATAATGTCTCATGAATTATTTTACATTATTTGTGACAATAGGTGCAAATTAATTGTTAACACCTGCCGGTGTGTTTGTAACTTCCTCGGGCGGCCGTGAAAAAACAAAACATAAAAATGTCAAAAAAGGGGTATGTCAGGAGACACTTGACATTGACTAGACGATTTCAAAGGCAACTATTCGCAGATAAGACAATATTACAAAAAAGTTACGTCAGATTTTGATAAGATTATAAAATTCCAGTTGAATTATTAAAAATGATTCAGAAATTTTCACAATAATTGTTATCTTACTTGTTTCCTGCTTATCACAAAAGTGCTGAAACGTAACTCACTACACAGTCAAAATACAAATAAGGGTTCTTCGCTCTAAAGATCTATGTATACTATTTAGCCCGTCCCCAAATTTAATTGTTTTCTAATGACATTTCTGGTGACTAAATTTCAAATTTCTTTCCTATCAAAAGTACAGTTAAATTTTTATAGTACTACAAGTACTATAGTGTCAAGGTCAATAGCGATGGAATTTGATAGTAATCGTAATCGAGTCATAGTTCACAGATATCAAGTAGGTATTGTAATCACATGACATGAAATGGGCCATGTGCCCGTGTTAACACCTACGAAAAGTTGGCACTTGTCATAGCTTTTGTTTTACCACAGCCGATCCGATTCCATAATCATAATCTTTAGTATCGTAGTTGGCGTGATGCAATCACTTTCACCGTTTGTTTCCACTCGCTATTATTAAGTAATGATAAGAAAGTTGCGTATTAGATAAGAGGGGATTAAAATAAGGATCACCATTTTCGTATTATTCGCGTGATTGGATTTTTTATAATTAATTTCAATTAATTAGCGTTTACACGGTTGGTACACTTTTACGGTTTCCAATTGATTTGCGACAAGTGACAAATTACAAAGTTAATAGCAAACAAGTTAAAAAATTCCAATTAATTATAATTACCTGATTTGTTTTAAATCTTGTGACCACTTTCACGCAGCAATGAACTCTGACACATTTCGTGGTAACGAAACAATTGCAAATGCGCCACCTGTCAAATACTACTGTTATTCTTTTGTTTTACATCGTCATCGTTGAAATTTAATCACTTATTTGTCTTGCTGGAAGCAGATTGTGAGAAATTTTTCTCGTGTTAGTCATTAAAATTATGGTATTTGATGGTAATTGTAAACATCACCGTTATTTCAGGTTTTATCTTGTCATTTTCGGAAAACAAATATTTGGGTTTTAAATGCAAATTTTCGGGTATTTGTCAAGAAAATTGATTATAATTACACAAATTGTAGTTGATTTTAGCGAAAAAATTAAAATTTCTTTGATTTTTCTGGAAGTGTCTAAAATCACAATTGGCGTCAATAACAATGTCATAATTTTTTTACAGTGTAGACACTACACCATTTAGTTGAAGTGTCAAATTTATTAATGACGATATAAATCAGGAAAAAGAAGAAATAGTATCGGTTTTTATTGATAATTGTAGACGAGGATGAAATTATCGCAAAATTTTGATTTTTATCCCATTGCGAATTTTTGCCTAATTGTCAAACGGAGTGAAATCCATGGAGGTGATATCAAGAATACAAGAAAAAAAGTGAAATCAGTATTTCTCAAAGAAATAAAGTTCAAAATTAGAAATTTTTTGCCAATTAAACTTAACTGTTAAAAAAATACACTGTTATGGCGGAGGTGGCTGTATAGTTGGCACCACTGCTTTTTTTGTCTTTTTGTCAAAAACACAAACAGATAAGTTCTATTTGTGGAACATAATAAGTAAGCAGTTATGCGTGAAGCAAACAAAAACAAATGTTTTGAATATTTTTTGCAAATTGTTTTATCAAACAATGCCAAGAAAATTGGTCTTTCAATAAATTTTATCGTTGTAATTACAGACATTAGTGCAAATGTCAGTTCATTAAGTGTCATTTACGGTAGAATTTTCCCGATAATTCCAACTTGGAATTTTTCTAAATTGATTGCAAAACTCGGTCCAATTTGCTGATAAACGTCTCATTTCACAACCTTCTAAAACCATAATATTGATGATTGTAACATCGCCTTTCCCATGATTTCGTATTGGCACACCGTATTTGAAACACTTTTCATCGACTTTGTTACATAAACACGCACCACGTCCCTCGTACCGACCTGATCTTCGTCCTATCGACTCAATCATGACCTCGAATTGTTCGCAAAAAACAAATTGATAAGCAAGCCCGAGGCTCGATTTTTATTAACACGCGACGTAACCCAACACGTGTCTTATTATCACAGAAAATTCAAATTCGATTGATGTTGGCAATCATGTCACGTGATCGTACTTACTCGAAAAACGAGTTTAATTGTAACATTATTTCCTCAATTTTCTACAGTTACTCAACTCGTTCATTAATTTTTAAGCCACGAAAAACATACAGGATGTTTGTTGCATAAGTGAAAGTTTTCACTCGTGTGTAATTCGGACATTTTTGACAGTTGGAGCTTTCTATAATTAACGAGGCGGCGCCGAGTCGGACACGAGCGTCTTGATTTGTTTTATCACTTTTTTCGACGATGATGCTGCACAAACAGTTCCTGCATCCTTAATATTCAAGGTCGTGTCGAGACGACTTTTCAAATACTTACTTATTGTACATACCTACTTTGCTTTAAAAAACTGTAAAAATCAGATTACAGTTTTAAACGTTTTAGGTTCAAGATAAGGCGAGATAATTGCCAACAACGTAATTACTAGTTGTACTATCAACTTGCGTAATTAATGCATTAGCGTATTGTAAAAATAATCGCCGAGATTACGCTAAAACACCCTTATTAACAGTGTATGTTATGATAGTGTCGGAAAAATATAGAGTGCTATGAACATTTGACAATTTTCATGGCCCACTTTCAACATAATTAAAGATTATCAAAAATAGGCCAAAAATCATCTGTTCTTGTTCCTAAAGATAAGTTTGGACAAAAATAGACAAAACACTTCCTAACTGATAGTTTAGCAAGTTTTTATTTATAACTAATGAACCAAAGGTCGCGATGCGGGAATAATTTACGCACAATAATGACACCAGTATTTGACATAAATAAACTGGTTTATAAAAAATTCACAATTTTTGGTTTTTAATTACTTTATTATACCAGAATAAGAACATGTGATTGCTACCAATGTCGCTAAAGTATCTTGTATTTATTCCGCCAGTTGTTGAATACTAGAATTAAATGTTTTAAGATGTTTTTTATCTGTGTGCGATAAGCAGGTACCTACAACAAAGACTATTTTTTAACATGTCTTAATTATAAGTCAAACAATAACAAACCAAGACAATGAATCGAATCAAGGCCACACGAAAACTTTATCAGAAACTTTCCTTCGTTTGTGTGATTTCAAACAATGAGATTAAGACAAAGAAGCGTTTTTTAAGTGCAACGACACGTAATTAGATAAAAATATGTTAAAATATACCGGAAGAATACTAAAACCGCAAGTTTCAAGGTTCGATCTAGTTACCTGGTTTTGGAGGAAGTTGCTTATTTTTGATCCAAGGCCATTTTTGGTTACTTAACTGTTTAACATCTTGTCATGTGAGGCCATTTTGGTGGATGCGCCGGTCCAAGCCTACTAGTGTTTTTCATTTACGTAATTATTTATGTAAGCACAGTCTACTTTTATCCGAGTTTTGGTCCGACCTTCAGTATGATTTGTTAAATTTTGACCTACTGCAATTGTTTGTAGGACGATGTAGGTAAATGGGTAACTGAAGAGTTTCAAATGTGCATTCTCTTTTGTATCAATTACCATACTTTGTTTGGTTAGCCTGAATTTTAATTCTCTAAACAAATACGAAAAACAAAAGTTTGCCGGTATCCACCGGTAAACACAGTTGGCCGCATTTGTAAAATTTACCGCATCATCAAAGAATGCCACGGTGATCATAGCCTACTTTCCCGTAACCCAGTTCAACGAAAGTAAGATGAGTGGTTGCAGTTACGTAACTTTGGTGCATCGAACATGCAGGGATCTTCGTTATTTCACCCTAATAACAGGTCTGCCAACCATTGCGTGGCTTGGCCACGTCACTTATCAACCGACGTGTAGTTTATTGACCAGACTGATACACGGAAGAAACAATTAAACCTTGAATGTTCTAGTGTAGTAGGCCATGACTGAGGAATTGAAGAATTTGCTCGCCTTCAATTGGCACGACTGTTGTTATAATGAGAGTTTTTACAGATACGCCCACAAAAAGTAGGACCTTCGATTGTGTTTTGTCGGTTTTTTTAACACTGGAATATGCTAGAATTTTGTAGCAAATTAAATAGTCTTTTCTCTCATTATGACTTGATTTTTAGTTGGCAAAATGTTTGGTAGTATGCAACCATCAATAAACTAATTAGTCTGTTTTTATTTAGCAATTTATTAGTAATTAAAATGAGTGATTTTTCATTTTGTCACGGTCTGTTTTGTGAAATTTGATATTTTTAATGGGCGTTGTTTTGTTTTATTTTTCTGTTTAGAGATGGAACCGTTCCAATATCCATCTACGCAAGTGTGTTACGTCAAAAGAATACAATTCCGGCGATATAAACAAACCTAAATTTAACTCTTCATTCATCCTTATCTTATGTAAAGACGTCTTCAAAATTCTGTTAAAATCCTTGAAAGCACGGAATAAATTTTAATCATTTTATTAACCATTTACCTGTTGCAAAATATCCATAAATCTGTCTTATTTACATGCATGTGCGAAAGTGATAAATTAATGCTAAATTACTTCCCTGTATACAAATGAACGTGATTTTCTTCTTCGCTTTGTGGCAACCACTTAAAATAAGACGAATAGTTATCGCTTTATTTCTTTATTGTTACAACCAGTGTAATTATACAATAATAAAAATTGTAATCAATTAAATAAAGGAAATACTTTCACAAATAAACAATTTTTGAATATTTTAAAGCTCAAGTTAGTCAAAAAGCTTCCGGTTATCTCAGTAAATGCACCTGCTTTCCAATTTTGTACATTTTAAATTGGATGATTCGGCAAAAATCGGGACTTTACATAATAGAATTGGTGCGAGCGCCATCTAACCGGCGATCGCGACACAGATTACAGGAAGCTTGTTTTTTATTGTATCGATGTTTGTGAATTATTTTGCTGTAATATGTTTTTGTTTTACTACAGACATTACGGAATTTTAATAATTTTGAAGAAAATAAGGTTTTACATTGTGGCGCCATCTACTAAGAAGTTTATGAATTGGATACAGGAACCTTTTTTCAAAGGGAATTTTATAAAAGTATTTAGGCATTTTTTACTTTAAATTTTATTAAAACAACTTCAAATAACAAGTAACCAAAATAAATTATAAAATATAAAATAGGCGATTCAACGAGGATGCTTTATTTAACTTTGAATCACTACAAATGGAACCAGTCCATCAATTTTCCACTACTGACTGTCTTTTCATTTAATTAATACTAGAATTTAGTGTAACACAGCCTAATTATTGGACACCTGAAACAACAAAAATAAACGAAAATCCCTAAACCAGCCACTCAACTAACCATTCCTAATTTTGCATTGCTGAATTGCTTCATTAAATCCTTGGCACAAGGTCAAGTCACTCTGTGTTGAAGCACACTGCAAGAATTGCTTGATTTCCCAAGCGCAAGGTCCTGTAGGTTCAGCTGAGCTATTCTGCTGAGGGGCTGCTTGTTGTTGCGGTGCTGGGGCTGATTCACTTGAACCTCCCCCAAACATACCTAAAACCACAATTAAAACTAATTTTGACAAAAAATTAACAAACCTGTGAGGGCTGCTCCCATAGTGTGTCCCACAGCAGATCCAACAGCTACGCCCCCCGCCGTCGCGGCCATTTGTCCGAACAATCCGGGTTGTTGTGGGGCTGTCTGGGCCGGTGGTGGAGTTTGGGCAGGGGTGCTAGGTTGGGTCCTCGCCGGGACAGAAGACCTAAAACGAAATCACATAACCACACTTTTTGAACACTTGATTTTTACCTCGGTGAGGGGCTCGCGGAACGTCCACGTCGTGGCATTTTATTGTTTATTGTTTGTGAGCGCAAAACACGTCTTATTCGTACAAAAACTGTGAGTCTATTACGTAAAAATCGCCTGACTACACGTCTTATATTCGAGGGTGAAGTTTCTAGAATGTGGGCTATTTTTTGACGTTCGAGAAATCAACTGTCTTTATCTAATCGCGCGGGTGCGAGAGCGATGGAAAGTCGATGCGTTGCGTAGATCACACGCTTTTTGTGACGTCACGAGGATAAAGTCCGTCAATAAAGCAGGGACGTACTTGGTGTATTTATTTTTAAATTTTTGAATGTCTTTATCATTACACAAATTTGTGCAATAAATACACGTATCAAAATTTTAGAGCATATTGATAAGAAACAAAAACAATGATTTGCAAAAAATGTACTCACGAATATTGTCGATTTTCTTTTCTTAAAGGTGGCTGCCTGGTCGGCGGCGGGGACCGCCAGGGCTTAGCAGGAGCGGCATTTCGGCGCCCCATTTTGACAAGTAATTTTCAAATCAAAAGTCAAAAAACACAACAACTAGATCTTTATTTGAACACTACTTATTACAAATCAAGATCGTGGTCATTGAAATCATCCGGAGTTTCAAAAATTCTTTCCGGTTGTAAATACTTGTTGACGATGTTGTCAATATCTTGTTTATTTTCCTTATAATAACAATCAGGAGTAGCGGAACTTAACGAATGAAACTGATCAGAATTTTGGGTAGGGAATGAAAATGGCTTATCTTCTGCGGCCGCCATATAGTCAGAAATGCGCTGCGGCTGAAAATTAAACTTTTCTGGACTCTTCGTTTGTGTTCCAAAACTAAAATTGAATTGTTTCACATCACGATCCTCCGAACTCAAAAAACCATCAAAACATTTCGCGTTTTTATCAGTGAAGATGGACATATTTAAGTTGCTGCTATTCGGAGGCTTTCTCTGGAAGATATTTTTTCTCTCATTGGATTCAGGTTTCGTACGAATCACTTCCTGCGTTCCAAAACTAAATTTGAATTGTTTCACATCACGTTCTTCCGAGTTCACAAACTCATCAAAACGTTTCGCGTTTTTATCACTGAAGATGGACATATCAAAGTTGTTACTATTCGAAAGCTTTCTCTTGAAAGTAGTTCTCTTTTTGGGTTCAGGTTTTGCAGGAATGACTTCCACGCCGTCATTTGTTTTACGTACGAAAGCCAAATGTTTGGAGTTTTGAATTTGTCGTATCGAAGGTCTGTTCAAAATCTGTGACAGATATTTTGAAAAATCTGATTGTGTGATATCTGCTTCGTAAAGTTTTCGGTCTTGCTCGTCAAACTCCTCTTGTATTTCTCTTCGGGTGAGTTTCTTAGGTGGAATGAAACGTTTGTTGAATCTTTTTTGTTTGTTGAAACTTTCTTTGCTTGATGAGGAGTTGGTTTTTGATTTAGAGTTCGTTTGATCGTCACTTGTTTTAAAATTTTCAACTGTGATATTTTCAATGTCTCTTATAGCCGAACTGTCTTCCATATTTGTGGTTTCGTTTCTATTTACTGCAATAAAATGCATAGAACTCGAACTTGTTTTTGATTCTTTGTCGACTGTTGTTTGATCGTTGAGACCCGAAAAGGAAAAAAAGCGCTGGTTGCAACTTTCTTTGCTTGATGAAGAGTTGGTTTTTGACTTGGAGTTTGTTTGATCATTTTCAACTGTGATATTTTCAATGTCTTTTATAGCCGAACTGTCAGCCAAATTTGTGGTTTCATTTCCATTTTTTGCAATAAAATGCAAAGAACTCGAACTTATTGTTTTTGATTCTTTGTTGAGTTTTGTTTGGTCGCTGTGACCAGAAAATGAAAACTGAGAACCCAAAGGTGAATAACTTATCGATTCCGAGTCATAACTGTGCATTTCTGGTTTATTGTTCTCTGGTATACTGTTAGAAGACGAATCGGATGACCACTGGGGACCTTCAATTATTTTAACTATGGGAAAAATGTGTTGCTGACTCTGATCTTTAGCTGAATTTGGTTCGTCGGTCGCAGTTTTGTAGGAACTACCCTAAAAATAACTTTAAACATGAAACCAAAGAAAAATTAAAACAAACCTGAGATAAATCAAAATCGAAACTACCATCTCTTAGAAGACTTCTACTCGCACTTTCGAACTCCTCTTCGATAAGTTGCAATTCTTCTTCAGTCAAATCTTTGATTTCTGAGCCAGAAAAACTCCACGATGTTGCTTTATAGCTGTGATTCGAAAACTGTTTTTCATTTTGGACAAACGTTTCATTATTTAATTGTTTTTCATTTTCGGAAAATTTGCCATTTTGCACTTCATTCTCATAAAATGAGGATTTATCACCGTTATTTATTTGTTTTTCTTCTCCACCGTTTTGTTGAAACCATTCTCTTTGGTAATAAACAATGTCATGTTCGTCACCGTCTATAGTTAAATCTCTTTCGGAACACTCGATACCAACTTCTGGTATGAGTTTATTAATATTGTCGCTATCTTCTCGAATAAAATTTGACAAATTTCGGTAACTCGAAGTCTCAAAAGCGTCCTTGAATGATTGTGGCGTCTCAACACCTTTAAAATTTTCATCACAAAACTCGATCACATTTTCGTTTATAGACCGATCAACAGTGATATTAACTTTTTGCAAATCGTTTTCATAATCGTTCAACAATTTATTGATCGTAGCTCTAGTTGCTTTTTTTAAACTTTTTAATTTGCGCATATCTGACTCTAGTTTATACTTAAGCCTAACTGCGTCATGAAGACCTTTATATTTTCTAACCTAAACAAATAAAAAATCAAATTTAAAGAAAAACTAACACTGAAAGAAACCTCAGGAGGTTTTTGACGCGCTTCCAAAATCCTGTAAACCTCATTTAAAATCCTTGTCGGCCATATTTTTTTCACAATGTAGACTCCATAATGTTTCAATTGCGTCACACCGGGGATTAACCTATGCTTAAACTCTAAAGTAAGCTCTTGTGGGGTTTCCCCGGTCGCAATTGTTTCCATTTGCCACCTAAATTTTATTTATTTGAGCTACGGGTTACGAGGTGACGCTACTTACGTCTTAACATTGAAATACATTTCCCTGAGATTAGCAAGTGATGTGTAGTGAGTCGTAACGTATACAAAAGCCGAAGTTGTGCAAAATTTTTCACAAATAGCCATTGCTAAATTGGCTCCCTCGTCAGCGCATGTGCTTCTACACAACTCGTCAATAATAAATAAAGAATTTTCCGACAGTAGAGTCATAATATATTTCACTTCTTTTATCTAAAAAAATAACTTAAAGTGGCTGAATTAATCCAAATTTTGACAAACCTCGAGAATAAAAGACGAAGCCTTGTACTCCATGTCGTCTTCTAAGTAAACGCGAGCAAACATTCGATTCATTGGTCTAAAAATAGCCGAGTCTGCGGGGACATAACTCCCAACTTGTGCCATAATTTGCAGTAACATAACTTGTCTGATATATATACTTTTCCCCGAACCGTTCGGACCGGTTATAACTTGTACATTGAAATCTGGACAAATCGACTAAAACACCCCCTTAAGTAAATTATTAGTTATTTTTCAATCTTACAATAGGATTGGCAACACTTTGTTCGATTAACAATTCCAACATCGGGTGTCTCGCATTTGTGAGTTCGGTGAAGTCCCCAAACTTTGGGCGTGTATAACCGCCACGCCTACTTGCTTCAGCCAATGATTGGAACATATCCAGCCGGGCTATATCTTCACACAACTTATAAAAAAAACCCAAATGTTGTTTCAAGCCAATTATTATATTGCGTACCATCCTGTTAACCACTAGTTAAAAAAAATCAAACAAAGAAAATAATAGTTACAGATTACTAATTTTCAATATTTCAACCATTATGTCTTCTAATCGCGTCGAATAGTTTATTAATTCGGGTGTTTTCATAGTGAAACTCCCGGCCAAACGATAGACTTGGATAAATTCTTCCGGCAAGTCAGATTTTTTAAACGTGCGTTTTTGTTGGCTATTTAATTTAAATACGATGTGGTAACCCTTCGTATTGTTAAAGCCGAGCGTCAGAGGTAAGTCATATTTATTTGCCAAGTGTTTCACGTATTCTGTCATATCGTTCAACCTCTCGGAATATGTTTTTCGCACTAGATCAAGTAGGCCGTTGATTCCAGATTTAATGGCAAAACAGCGTTGCGCAGTTCCAGCTTGACTTTTTGCAAACTGTGCCGATGGATGTATCATTGTTCTTATCAAATTAGCGATATCCACAAAATTGTCACTCTCTAGAGTCCCTTTTAATTCATTAAAAAATGGTTGTTGACAGCTGTCAATGACGTCTTTTAGTGGCTCGATCAAGTCAATCAAACCGTTGAGAAGTAACAAATAATTCAATTGTCGAACTGAGCTACTATCATTTGTTTCAGTTGACATAGATGTTAGGGTTAGTAACTGATCAATGTTGGACACTTTTTGTAGGATTGCCTGTATAGAGAGTAACATTTGCGGATGTTTCATTAATTCTGAGACACACTGTAGATTCTTGTCGATGATTGTGGGGGAGGCTGGCGGTTGGAGAATGGTGGATCGGAGTAGGCGGGCGCCAACTCCGGTTACACAATTATTTAAAACACCGAAAAGGGTTGAATATCGGGTGGCTTGTAAGGGCTTCGTGCTCGAGACTAGTTCTAATCGATCAGCAGTAGAAAAATCTGAAAATTTTCTCATGTTGATTTTTTGATGTTTTTTTTTATTAATACCAATTATGGCGTATCCTTCCGACTCTTGATATGAAATATTGATCGATTCTTTCGCGTAGTAAATATTGAGATAGGTTTGTAGGTAAGTGGTGAGGGCGGAGGCGGCAGCTAAAGCGTAATATCTTCCAAAAAATAAAATTATATTCAAATAATTAAAAAAACTTACTTATGTTGAAGGCCGATACAAATAGTATTAATCGACGGCAGACACAACTCTAAAATTCGTTCCATACCGTTAGTTTTATTGAAGGTTTTTCGGGGGATCCCCAGAATCTTAATATTGGGAAATTTAGTTTTTAAACTTTCAATCAATCGACTATTACTTTCCAAAAATGTCGAGGGCACTATAATCTATTTAATATCGAGCTAAATCATGTAATTATAAGTCAATTTTTACTCACATCACTCGGATTCAGGATATTTATTTTGGTCAAAGTGTTGATATAACTTTGAGAATCTGACATTTGACACAAAATCAAGGTCGGCATTGACAAATCGATCGATGCCAAGCCAACTTCGCACCGTGCTTCACCTCGACCTTCGGTCAAAGCTACAAAATTTCGAATGAACCTACCTTACATTTCACACCTTGGTGAGTTATGCAACCAAAAATGCGATTGCATTTTTGACTTTTAAACAAAATGAATTCAAATTTTAATTACCTACAATCACTCTAGACTCAGTTTCTGTTGATACTGTCGTACCTCCAGACCGCAAGACCGAACTATTGAAAAGGCTAAACCAGAATTTTTTATGATTGAAAGATACTGAAATACAAACCTGGGGCAACTGCGACCCCAATTTGTTCCAGACGATGGGGTGGAGGTGTTTTTCTGCCGATTATTTCGATTTTTGGATACTGGTCGAGTCGGAGGTCCCATAACCGTTTTGACCTTAAAAGCTACAAAATTTTGTTAAAATATTGAAAAATTAGGATGCGGGACGTTACTTGGGAATCCTGGGCCGTTTCCGAGTCGCTTTTTGGGAATAAAAGACTGATTCAAATTCATTGTTATCACAAGTCGAATACCTTGATTTTTGTAAAATGACAGACAAAGCCTACTTGTGCTAAATTCAAAGCCTACTTGCGTCTTGCACAAAATTTATTGTAATAAAAAATTGGAACATACTAATTAACAAACAAAATTAATTAATCATCATTTTCGCTACTGGGCTCGTTGTCAAAACCTTGTTCATTGGCGATTTGGTACTGATTTGTCCAGCTTTTAGGTTGGCGGTCCTTGTAAACCTGTGAAATTGCCACAACTGTGATACTATTTGACAACAAGAATCATTTTTACCTTGCACACAAAGTTTAATATGGCGTGTTTACTTATTTCTGTTTCAGAGCATATGCCCCAACTATAACTGACCTTTTTAGTCAATGGATCAATCTCTGTTGCCAAATATTTGTGTTTTACTAAAGTGTTGATGTAATCTTTGACACTTCCAAATACTGGGTGTCTCACATTAACGTCAATTTGAAAATGTTCCAAAAATGCGTGTAAAGAAGCTGACAAAAAAAATCATAAAACGACTACTATTACATATTAGATCTAAATACCTTCAGGTGTTGCCACATTGGACATGAAAATATGGCTCAATATCAATAAAAGTAAAATTTTTTGACTATCCTTAAAATCAGGTTCCTCTTGATCAACAATATAATTTTTATAAGGCAAGGCATTTGTTACAATAAATGCTTTACTGTTATTCGCAGTTTGGTCACAAACTAACAGTTTGTAGCCATAAACCTGTAAAAAACTTATACATAAAATACTTATTAAAGATTTTTTGCCCACCTGTTCCAATATTTGCGTCGCCCCTTCAATCACTTGTTGTAAAAACTGACCAGTTCTAGGCGCACAATATTTTTGAATATCAGATTTACGAAAATAAGTATTTTGGCCCCCATTGTAAATAATATATCGCACACAATTATTTACAGCGTCATCGACTGAGACTTGAGATTGCGAAAAAGCACCCTCAAGCCTGGACTGTGACAACCGAGATGTGTTTTGGCTCTGGGAAAGCGACTTTCGAGGTCTTTTTGACATTTTTCCACTTTGGGCGCCAGAGGATACAAAATTGCAATTTTGAGGTTATTGGAGTAGATAATTTGTCTTGACTCTATGTTATTGTGTGGTTAGACCGAATATTAAATTTTTCTTTAATGTAATAAATAAAAGTCATGTGGTGATAATAATCTAAATTTATTATTATGTCCGTTATTTTAAACTAATGTGAATGTTTAAAGCATTGTGTTTGATGTTCTGGTATAGCAATTGGTAGTAGATTGAATGCTCTGTGGTAGCTACAAAGTAAATGAGGAATGATAGCCTGGCGGCAATACATTGTATTTGAACCAACCAACATTACATTTCAAAGATAACGTGGATATCAAAATATTTAGTTTTAATAAATTAAACATAAAGTCTGTTTTTTTATTAAATGGAAATGCCAAACAGTCTTAACGTTGGCATCACTAGTAAATTCATTCATGGTAATTTTAATAAAGGAAGTTGGCAGTTCCGGTTTTTTGAATTAATTTGAAAACAATGTCATTAAACGTCAACACAAAAAATCGTCTAAGAAAATTTAGAGATGAAACACCAAAAAAGAAACAAATTCGGTACACTAACAGTTTTTCGAAATTTGGAAACGAATAGTTCGCAAGCAGGAAGTTAGAAAAAGGGCCCGTTAAAATGTAGATGCAATTTGTAATGCAGGTTTGCTAAACATTTTCAGTTTAGCAAGAATTTGACAAGAATACAAAATAAACATGTATGAGAAAGAACCTCGGAAAGAGCGCAATTAAATTAGTGTCTTGTGCATCGTTTTTTGAGGAACGAGTTGAAAAAGTAACAATTTTGAAACTAAAGCTGAAGAAGAATTTATAAAATGCATCAACTTTGAGCTCATTTCGATAAATTACACAAAATTTATTGCCAATCATCATAATATCCACTTCTATCTTTTACTAAATAACTTTTTTCTATATACATCTTTTTTCTTCAAAGTTTTTGTAGCAAGAATCTCATTTTTGTCCACAACATTGTACTTACTTGCGGTGTGTTTCTGTCAAAATTATTAGCACTAAATTCTGTCCTTAGACCTTAGGTAATGATGTCTGTCCTCAGGTATTCAATTATAGCGCTTTCAAAGAGCAAACAGGCACACAAGATTCATAAAAGTCAAAATTTTGACAACATCTCAATTTGAACACATAATCATAATTTTTTAACAAAATTTCTAGGGACAAAAACAAAGAGCAAAACAAAGTTTGTGGCTATGGAGACAAGCTGCTACCAATTTTTTCACCAAAATTTTGACTTGGTAATTTCCATTTAAAAAAAAACAGACTTTAGTGACCAAACAGCACTTCAACTTTAATTTATAAAATGTCAAACCTTGGAGAATTTGGTGGGAATTACTAAAATATTGCCGAAAAGGCCAATAAGATTCTCATTTATGAAGAATGTTTGAAAAATACTTCGCAGACTGCGGGTTTTTATCATCCTTTCCAACGTGATATCCAAATAGACGGACTCCCTAAAACTGGAGTAGTCATTTTGACTAAAAGAAATTTGTCAAAAATAAAAATACGATTACTATGTTTAACTAATTAAAACAAAATATTTTAATATCCACGTTATCTATGAAATGTAATGTTGGTTGTTTCAAAAAAAAATTTCAGGCTCATTATTACTCGTTGGACACCCTGTATATTTTCAATTTAAATTTTATCAAGGCTTGATGTGCGACTTCAGGGAACTCCCTCAAGTGGTGGCTGTCAACTCGATCGACCACATGGCTAATTTGCCCAAATGTGACTCCATATGGGCTATTTTAGAGGAAGATTAGCGTCATAGAGAGCAAATTTTACAATTTAGTTAGTTTTAAGGACGTATAATTGAAACATTACAAATGAGAAAAACGCGGAAAAATACCCATGGGTGAAAAACTATGCCAATCACGTCGAGATGTGACTGGACTTTTTTAAACAACTTTTTTAAATTTGAACAGTATTGATACTTCCGCCGATTATGATTTCATCAAATGCAAATTTAGGGAAGCCCGGCGGCTTTTGGCTTACACTGACGTCCAGATTGTCGCGTCGGATGTCTTTTTTTTATATAGGGCCTGGTTTAGCCCTTACGAGAAATTTTGTCAAGTTGATTTCTAGGTATCACAATGAGTGGCACTACGATTTTGATTTGTTGAAATATGTGTCGTTGAGAGAGTGTAATAATTAAAATAAATTAGATTTTTGCAAAATGAGCCGACCTGTTTTAATCACTTTTAATGCAGAAACCTTGCGTCTTAATTTTTTTAATAGTATGAGCGGCCACGAAACAAACAAAAAGAAAAGGTGAGTGGAGGTTAATTATCTTTGTTTTTGTAATGAGATGAGTTTAATTTATTGTTAATTAAATTTATGGTCAATAATATTAAGTTCACCTAGTTTTAAAGACCTTGTTGCTTAAATGTCAATTTGTAAAAAAATGGCGGCTTATTTTAAATAATACAATTTCCTGTTTAGTGTACTAAATAAATCCTTATCGTTGCGATATCAAATAAAACGCTCATTTTTTTTAAGTTTTATTACGAAAAGCATTAAATAATACAAAAGAAAATATACAATAACAAATCTTAAAACGGCAAAAGTGTCCTCATTTTGTGTAATTATTAAGTCGTGCGACTTATCGCCATTGTAAAATTCCTTATCAGTTGTCAATTTTCTACGTTTTAACTTTTGTAACAATAAAACTCAATCTTTTGATCAGATAAGATCAAGTATGACTTCGAGTATCCTCTCACAATACATAAGAAAATACTAAAACTAAACAAAAACTTAGAACTAAATGTCGATTTGGAACTGGTGTTCGTCGTGCGAATCTTCGATTTTCGCTGAATGGTTTTTAGTCGGAGGTGAAAACCGTCTGCTGGGGACTCCGTTACAATTCGTTTTTCCCCGCATCAAGTGTTCAGGGATTCCGTAACTCGGAGGAGTTTTCGAAATAGGAGAGTTGCGTAAATTCATTAAGAAAGCCTTCTCGTAGACTATTTTCGTACCTGGAACATGATTCACACGTAAAAATAAAGCTCTCCCACCGAGAGGCTTCTTCGATAAGATGATAGTATAGATGACTAAAATACCAGGTCCAAGGACGTTTGAGTACTTTTTATCGTGTTTTGGGATGTTATTATCGGCTTGTTTTGCATAAATATCAAGAAAATTTAAAGTGATGTTACGTCTTTTGATTTATAAAAGTCGCTCAAAAAATCAAAGATGAAGCGGAAGAAATGTGGAGCGACGAAAATATAAACCTTGACACTAATAATATCAACAAAAGCAAAAACACAAGAACACGAACGAACGTGCGTCTGGTCAAGTTCTCCCAACTTTATCAATATTGGATTAGGTCAATGGAATATTTAACTTTTTCCCAGTTTTGAGCAAAATATTTGCAAAACTGCGTATTTTGCACACAGCTTGCCAGAATTAACTCGTGTTTACTATTATCACTAATGTTTACTCAAGGTCACATTATAAATTCGCCACGTGTAGACGACGCTTCGAGACTTGTTTTTTTTTAAGTAATTACATAAGACAACGATGAACTCTTGTCGCGCCGATAAGAAGATGCAAATTGGTGTTTGTATATTTATAAATTCGTATTAAAATGACTCTTGGTCAAAAATACAAACCTCCCGGAGTGGTTGAGTAGAGGGTGCCTCCCGGCGTGGAGGAATAATGCGATGGCAGTTCAGAGGGGTCGTTGATAAGGACTTTTTTAGTCGGAATGGCCTTACTCTCGGTCACTTGTCTTGCCATAGGTGATGCCGACATGTTGGAGAGGAGAAAAAACACGTGTATATACTCGAAAACAACGCGATTTTGTTGTCGCTCACTCAAATTATATAAGGCGAGCGCTAATCCCCTCCCAAATTGTGCATTTCTCCCACTTTTTAGCTGAAAAATAAACAAAAGGCGCTTTGGGGGGGACTGTTGGGGAGCTTTGCAATCTCTTTACGTAAATTGTGGATAAATTGAAACTTTCAACCACCTCCAAGCTCCAAGGATTGTTGATCAGCGTTCAATCAACTACGCATTTAGGTGCAGGTTTTTTTTTTTTGATTTTCCAATAAATTATGTAAAAAATGCGTTGTTTGGGATTGTTAGCTGGGTGTGATTGCGGAACTGCGTTATCAATAATTTATTTGATTTCCTCCAATGGAGGAGCAAATATGAGTCACTGAGTTCAATTGTTTTAGTCGTGCTTCGTAAATTCAGGTATTTTTATGCATCGTTAAGTCGAAATCGATTTATTGTTTCATTTTATTCAACATTTCGCCTGTACTTAAGACTTGAACCACTTTGGTTTTTCGTAACCATCGTGGTAAATTTTTTGCACATCGAATACATAATAATTAATTCATTATGACTCATAATCATACTCAGAGTGGATGGATATAACAAATTTAAATTAATTAAAAAAAAAACATTAAAATAGTATATGGTATTGCTAATATCATCCGTAAAATAAAGGTCAAAATTTTATATTAACGTTAAAAAATCGTAAACAGGCGTCAGGAATTAATAAAAATACAATTAGTAATTATAAATAACGGATTTTATTAGACTGATTTAAATGTCCCCCTGTGGCATTATCAACACAAAATGATTTATTGAACAATTATTACACTTCTAAGAAAACAGAGTCACTTTTATTGATAAACAATGGAGATAAATAAGAGTTTAATGCCATACATTTCAATAATGTATTAATTATTAGAATAACAAATTAACAAATTTGAAAAGCGCGCCTTGTTTTGACATATCTGATCACAATTCTCAAAAATTTTTAAATACGCAAAATCTTCCAGTGTGATTTTCCGTAACCCTAAAGTTCTTAGTTTTGCAAATTTAATTACCAACAATACTATAAATTTCCTCATTTTAGCCAAGTTATTCAACAAATCTGTCAAATGTCGGCATTCTAACCCCAAAATTGAGATAAACAAATTAAAATGTGGCGTAATTCTCTCCGTATTTTGACTAAACTGCCCCAACAAAGCAAAAAACTAGCCCTCAACGCCCATAAGTAAGTGTTTATACAAGAAAAAATAATAAAAAGTGAGGTTATGTAATTATAGGTCCCCACATTTAGCCCCTTTTCAAGACAATGTACCCCGCCGCTTTATCAAAACCACTCCGAAATTATCAATGTTTATTCAAACTCAAGAAACCCCAAATCCGAATAGTCTCAAGTTTTTGCCGGGGGTTAAAGTTCTAGAGGAGGGCCAAACTATAGATTTTCCCAATGGACAAGCAGCGTATTGTTCACCTTTAGGAAAATTACTTTTTCGTATAGAAGGTGTCAAAAGTGTTTTTCTAGGACCGGAATTTATCACTGTTACTAAAACAGACGATGAAATTGAATGGAAAATTATCAAACCTGAAATTTTTGCAACTATTATGGACTTTTTCGCTAGCGGATTACCGGTTTTGAACGACGCAACGCCGAACGCAGACACACGTAATTCCTCATTTTGAGTCAATAATTATCACATTAATTTTTTATAGAAATTAATGAAGATGATAGTGAAATTGTTCAAATGATTAAAGAACTATTAGACACAAGGATTAGACCTACTGTACAAGAAGACGGAGGTAATTACCACGAGGCTTTACACCACATTTAAATTATTTTTACAAATTGTAGGTGACATAATTTTCATGGGGTACGACGACGGTATAGTTAAATTAAAACTACAAGGGGCTTGCACTAGTTGTCCTAGTTCAATAGTTACGCTAAAGAATGGTGTCCAAAATATGCTACAATTTTATATTCCTGAAGTTTTGGGGGTGGAACAAGTGCAAGATGAGGTAGATTTAATCGCAGACCAAGAATTTAGAAAGTTTGAGTCTAAATTAAACAAAAAATAATTTTAGGAGTCAAAATTGAATAATAAACGGTTTCGTTTAATTGTAAATAAGTTTGTAAATAAACACAGTCGCCTAAAGGTCGCGTTTTGTTTTTTTGTCCCAAAATGACAAAGTTTTCAATCTCGAAAGACTACAACCCCAATTTACAGAAATACAAATTGGTTTTTCTGGGGGAACAGAGTGTTGGAAAGACTTCGATAATAACGAAATTCATGTACGACAGCTTTGATACCGCTTATCAGGCCACTGTTGGTATAGACTTTTTGTCAAAAACGATGTATTTGACCGACAAAACAGTCCGTTTGCAACTGTGGGACACCGCCGGTCAGGAGCGTTTCCGGTCCTTAATCCCTGCTTACATAAGAGACTCATCAGTGGCGGTGGTGGTGTTTGATGTGACCAGCGTTGAGACATTCCACCAAACCACAAAATGGATAAATGACGTACGCATGGAGCGCGGAGACTCCGTCATTGTGTTTTTGGTCGGGAATAAAGTCGATTTGAAGGATTTGAGACAAGTGACTCGAGAAGACGGGGAACAAAAGGCCAAGGAATTGAATGTTACTTTTGTAGAGACAAGTGCGAAAGTTGGTTTGAACATAAAACAGTTATTTAAGCGAATTACCGAAACATTGGTTGTTAGTGAAGAACCTAGGAACGATTTCAGTGAATTACAGGAGATTAATTTACAGAAAAATGGGTTGACTCCTATTGATAACAGTTGCGCCTGTTAATTAAGAATAATTCCTTATGAAACATTTATTTACAATTAACTGATAATCTTAATTAATTAAAAAAAATAGTTGAATAAAGTTCTAGTCAGTGTACAATCTCTTGTAGTAGTAAATTAAACCCCTTTCCTCCACTTTTCAGCTGTCGTAAACTCAGTCATGGGCTTTCCACTTATCCCACAGGTGCCAATACCTACGCGTCCATTCACAGAGTCCGGCGACGCGAAAATACTCTTATTAGTAAGACCACTCTTTTTATTTTTCACGGCTTTGTTCGTAAAAGCCAACCACTTGTTTTTCTCAACTTCTCTCTCTTCTTCCAATACTTTAAATCTCTGTTGTTTCTTCAGCTTCTTCTTTTTCAGATATTCGCGATTATTCATCATTTTGATGCGTTTCAAACGCTCAGCTTCAGTCAGGACGCGTTTTGCTCCTGTGAATTCTTTAATTTCCGCTAAGGTAGAAACCCCCCGATTCTTATAAGCTTCAAAAGTCACATTTACCTGTCCGTCCGGGAGGATTGCATCAATTCGGGCTTCGTAATACTGCCCGTTATCGTTCCATTTGGCCAAACAGGTGTCACCAATACGCCAGATTTTCTTCGATTTGTTACGAGCAACGAACTGTTCGACGGCCAGGAGCGACTTTGTTATCTCATCTTCCTCAGGTACCCCAATTGGTTCGGTGTACTCGGGCTGATTTGCGGCCTCATCAGCTTTGTTTTTCAAGTCGAGGGACAATTCAATAACTTCTTCCAAATCAACTTTGAGTTTTTGCAGTTCTTTGTTGTCGGGGTCACTCAGAAGGGCAGCTTCGACTTGTTGCAGTTGCAGACGATAATTTTGCAACTCATCCATTGTTCAAGTTTAAACAAACGTACAGAATAAACTTATCACGCCTCTTATTGCAAACTTACCGAAAGCTCGCCGAATTTTTACAAAAATTGACTAAAATTTTAATAAGTCAATAACTCGGCGGCCATTTGCAATTTTTCTAGTGACATTCACATTACCAATCCTCGATAAAATCAATTTCGGACTCAAAAACTTATTTTAAATTTACAAACCGCAATAAATATTACAAACAAACTAATTTACATTAAGTAATTTAATTACTTTTCAATATTATTTATAAATTAATTTTTTTGGTGAAATTTGTTTTTGTTTGGTGGCGCTACAGTCGCAGAAAAATCACCAAAGCGTCAACCACAAGCCCCCTTGGTATTTTTTGATTATTTGACATATTTGGGGGGTTGTTTTGGCGTCCCCCCAAGAATACAAGTTAAAAATGAGTGTTAAACAAATAAAAATATATAGCGCAATAAATTAAGTGCGTCGTTATCAATTATAAACTTTCGTAATGGCAAGTGTTATTTCCCTCTCAAGTGCATCGTCGAATCGTTCCCCCAAAAATACGGATTCTCCAATGACTGTTTTAACCCTAAGTTCCGAAATTCACAGAGTTCCAGTGAGTTGGGACGGACAGAAAGCTACCAAAAGGAAGTCAAAAGTTTTGGACTCCGAAAACACCCCCAGTCATTATGAAAAAGTTAAAGAATGGATAGATACGTCTAAATATGACGATATGGGGGCCACTAGTGGGAATAAAAGTATTTGTATTCGTTACGATTTTGATAAAAGTGACAAAATCACAATCAATGTACCCAAATCTTGTTTTACAAGAGTCACCCCCTTGTTTTCTTACATGGAAAAAGCCAAAAAAGCAGTTTTGAATGAAGAGAAAAAGGTTAAAAACGAGGAATGTACCAAAGTTAACGGAAATGTAAACAATCTTGAAACTCCTCTAAGTCCAGAGAGTCAGAAAAAGGAGCTTTGTAGTTACCTGCAATTAATGAAACCTGGTGATAAGAAACAGAAGAAAAAATTATTTGGAAATAGGAGATCTAATAGAGTCAAGAATTTAGTTCAAAATAATAAAAACCACCAAGAAACGTGTTCAGAAAACGACGTAAACACTTTCCCTACCCTCAAATCATTTGAAGATTTAAATATCAAGTCAAGTATTTTTGATGGGAAGAAGAAGAACATGAGAGAAGCACCAAATAAGTATTTACCGTTGCCCCCCAAGTCGAAATTTAGCGAATTTGTTGATTTTGAGGATTCAGTTAAGAAAATTGTAGATGAAGGTTTCAGGTCACGGAAGAATGGCAAGTTGAAAAAAGTCGAGAAGCGAAGAAAATTTAATTTTGGGCTCAAATCGCGTCAATTCAATTTCAAGAGGATTAATTCGTTACGAAGCAAAGGTCGACTCAGATTCATTTCTTTGGATAGACTGATTCTGCGTAAAAGTCAGCAGAGAAGGAAAACACGGAAAAAATTCTTGAAGAAAATCAAAGACAAGAACGAGAAAAATACGAAAACGGAAACTCTTGAAACAGATTCGGTGCAAAAGTTGGAATCCCCACATTGCGAAATGATTTCAGTTCGTACAGATTCGGACGATTCGGTGGAGAAATTGCGTTGCGAAATCGTCTCAGTTCACACAAATTCTGATGATGAAAATGTCGATTTAAAAAATTTCGTTGATGATATGTTGGAGTTGGATAAAATGAGCGAGGAGCATAGGAAAAGTGTTATAGAAACTAGGATTTTAGCGTCTGGTTCGATTACTAATCTTATAAGCAAGCAGATGGCGCAAGAAGCAGACGTCCAGAAGGCTTATAAGATATTTGCAGATTTATCCGAGAAGAAAACTTCAGAGGAGAAGGAAAATAACGTGAAGAAAGATGCAGTCGATTTGATTGCCTTCGAGCACGCTTATGCGAAAGTTGACGAATTACCAACTGAGGAAAAACAAGTGGATGAAGAAGAAAATGAAGAGGAAGAAGAAAAAAAAGAGGAAGAAGAAGAAGAAGAAAAAGAGGAGTCGCTCCAGAATAATCTGAGTCCGGTCCCTATTCCTGAGCTACAAGTCCTCCCTGTGAACACTACAATCGCAACAAAATCGCTGCATCGAAGTCTCACTCATAGCAACCGTCGAAAGTTATTTTTGAACAATTACGGTCTCCACAATTGGAATTCTGCGTCGAATTCGGATAATCGGAAACTGAACCATTCGATAAGGATTTCGAAAAATGACGGTGCAGTTTTGAGGGGGTTTTATCAGGACTTCAATTTGGTCATAGTTCAAGAAAAATCTGTATCGTTTTGGACGCAAAGTGCCTTGGGGAATGTGTTAGGAGCACAAAACATGTGGATTCCTAAAGGACAAATCCAAAGAATTCCCCTAAATAGCACTTACGTACAAAAAAATGCCAACGAAATGGTGATTTCGACTGAGACCAGTGTGGCATATGTCGAATTATGGACCAAAGAACACAAATCGGACGTGAGGGAAGTACCAGTGGCTGATGTTTTCGCCACGGTGTATTTCTGGAGGCTGAGGCAGAATGGGTTGGAGAAGAAGGCATTGCAATTGGAGAATATTAAAGGGTAAGGTGGAATTGCGTTCCGTTGACCATTACTGACCAAGACTTGTTTCAGGTGCGCCGACGACGTACGATACTGCGTTCTTCGGTGTTACCCTCGCATCATCGTCTGTTGGCAATTGGTCCAAGGCAATGAAAAACGTACAAAAATCCATTCTTTTCATTTAGCCGCCGATTTTCAGACCGTTGCCAACATAAGCGAGATTCAACCAGTTGAACATTACGTTTCTTCGTTACACAACATCGAAGGTTTGTTACAACTCACTCATAATTCGATACTAACCGTAATTTTAGATTGTGACAGCTTAGTCATGGGTTGCGGCGAAAATAAAATCACATTATGGAATATCGAATATGGATACATTGTTGCCAGTATTGAATTGTCGAATATCAAGTCGCTTTTGTGCACTCACTGGGTCAAGTGTGATAGAGTAAGTTTTTGGCCTCCTGATCTGTTAACATAGATTGACAACAAAAACTCTCAAAAAACAGCATCCTTCAGACACATTCATAAAATGTGTAAAGGGTGTTTTACATAATTTTACGAGGCCTGCGCCTGTAAGATGCAATCAACAATACATATTCCGATATGAACTCTAGTTTGTTGTTTTGTTTTCTAGTTTGTTCATCCTTTTAAAAATTACAACGTTTTTAGTTGTTAGTGATTAAGATAGATACATTAGATACTAGAATCATATTCATGCCGTCTATTGATAGAAGAAATGATAATTGTTTCCGAAAAACTGCAGTTTATGAATATTAATGAAACAGTGATTAGACTATTGTCATGGGTTTTCAAAAATTAAATAACACTAGCCAACAAGCATTTTGTGACTGAGAAGAAAACAGTTATTTTTTTTTTTATTTTATGTGCTAAACTCAGAAATGATAAAGAAAATTCCATAGCACATCAGATTTTAAAGTTAGGTATTTTAAGATATCATATGTAAGTATGTTCGACAAAATCGCCGCAAAACGGAACACTTAAAATTCATTTTCTCCATTCTCATTTAAATTTTTTTCCCCAAATTTGGGTGCCGTTAGGGACGAGCAAGGGGAAAGGTTCCATCAGGATATATTGACGATGGAACTGAGGTACCAGGGAGATGGGATCCAGCTATGATGGGGGATTACTGCTGGTTCCTGATAAGGGAACACCCTACAAAAAAAAGTCAGCTTTTGCAAAAAATTCATCTACAACAGATCTATGTTAGAATCTTATTCATCTTTCAACATTGTTCTTGTTTAGTGAATAAATTAATTTCTTTCGTCGTCTATTTAATTAATTTCTATTTGAAATGAACAATTTTTACGACAAAATTTGAGAAAACTATTTTCTTGTAACTTAAAATCTGTACGTGATGGAGAAATTTTCTTATCAAATTCGTAATTAGGGATATTAATGAACCCTGATACACGTGTCAATAGATCAATCACATTAAAAAAATGTTGGGTAGTGTAATTAAATTTATGTATTTTTTGTATCTAGTGTTTTGTGACTTTTGTATATTTGGGTGCGTACATTAGGCCCAAGCCTCGTAAAGTTGTGTGAAACATTCTGTATATATTTTTGTATACGGAAAACTTATTTTTATTGAAGTGCCATTTTACACAACTTTTTTAATTACATCTAGTGGTACGGCATAGCCATCACAATTGTTTTAATGGTTCTTTGTTTTATTGAAAAACTTATTTCAGATTTTTTAATAAGTCTTCGGCCAAAAATTTTGATACAAATCTTGTGTTAACCATTTTACAGGGCTCAATTATTAAGGCGTTGTGTGTCAACTTAATCTTGGCCTGTACCACAGGCGAAATAACAATTGTAAATAACAATTTTTTATTTGTTAGGGTTTTCTGTTCACGATCCAGGAGTGCGCTGATCACGAGTTGCGACTCATTGCAATAAATGGAATGAACCAATCTTGGAAAAAGCTCCAGAATTTTAACCCACCAACTGGATTTGAAGGGTGCATTATCAACAATTTCTTACTCGAAAAATAGTGATTCGTGTTTTAGGTTGAAAGGAGTTTGTGTTGAAAATGGCATAGTGATAGCTTACTATTCGCAAGGAATTTTGTGTTGGAACGCACAAAGTGGCGAACCCATAGTCGAAGAAGTACCAAATGAATGTGAATATATTCCTTCTGGGAAACATGTGATATTGCTAATTGATGAAAATGTCATCGTAAGAAATTCGTTAAGCCATTTAATTACTGATTCGTAGAGTTCGTTTTCTATTTTTTGTTTTGTTGACTGATTTTAACTAGATTGTTATTATTTATGTGAATAAAGTTTAGTTGCCATTGTACATTTTCCTGTACAAAAACAAATTTGCTATTTTGACGAATAAAGTATTTTCTACGAAAACAAAACGACTTTTCTTACTAGTCATGTTTATTTACGCGATAGAAACAAAAGATGCAAAAATACTTGACTTGAAAAAAATAAACAAGTTTAATACTTAAGATATGCGAATACTTAATCTTCAAGAGTGACATTTTTGAATAGATACGACATTGATTCTTTGTTATGAATTCTCCTAATCGCTTCTGACAACAAAATCGATATATCCACGGTTTTAATTTTATGACATTGCATTTTTTGCAACTCGTGTGGAATCGTATTCGTGACCACAACCTGAAAAACGAAAATCACACAAAATAAAACAATACTGGTAAACATACTTCATCAATAGGGGAATCCTCGATTAACCTCGGTGCATCTGACGATAGTAGGCCATGAGTGGCTAAAACATAAATCTTGTAAGCCCCACGTTCCTTTAAAACCTCTGCAGCGGTCACGAACGACTGGACATCATCAATCAAGTCATCCTAGCAAAAATAAAACAATAATTTGTGCTAACTAAGGAACCAAATTTAGTTCATACCACCATAATAGCGATGCGGCCCCCAACGTCGCCCACTACGTTAATGGGGGGTTTTTCTTTAGCAATGTGGACGGGGACTCCCACGCCGGCGTCCATGGTCCTAGACCGGGGGATGGTTGGGGGGGAGTACCTCCCGTCCACTTCATCCGATTCTGCCACTTTTTGCTCCCCATGGATGACTGCGATTCCCAGTCGAAGACGTTCAGCGTAGGAAGTGGCCTTTTTGGCCGTTCCTGGATTTCGGGCCACTATTACAGAGTTGCGGTAGTCTGGAATCTAGCATTTGGTGGGTTAATTGGCACCAAAAATAACAGGAGATTTACCGATTCTTGAATGTATTGTAAGAGAAAGGGACTAGCGCGGAGGTTGTCGACGGGGCAATCGAAAAAACCCTGGATTTCCTTCTGGTGGAGGTCCATGGTGATGATATGGGTGAGCCCCGACTTGACCATCATCTGGGCCAGGAGTTTGGAGACGATACATCCGCGTTTGCGCATCTTGCATTGTTTACTGTAGGGGAGGTAAGGGATGACCCCCACGATGGACTTGGCTGAGGAAGTCTTACAAGCATATGCCATGATTAGAAGCTCCATAATATTGTTATTGACGTCTCTGGAAAAGTACCATCAATATGGAAGCCATGGGTATACCATGGTACTTACTTGGTACCCGTCTGAATAATATAAATATCCTTCCCTCGTACTGAATCACCGATCTCAACCATGGTCTCCCGGTTGGTCTTGTGATACACAGCACAGCCCCCGAATTTAACCCCCAAACGTTGCGAAATTAAGTTGACCAATTCCGGATGGGAATTGCCACCTATCAAGACCACATCCGAGGTTTTCGGTGCCTCCATAATTGAATTATTCAATTAAAAGTACCAAATGCGAAGCATTAAAAAGAGCGATGTTTTTCACCACAAAAAAGTAAAAGAATCACCACGCGTGTTTCTAAATTAAACTACAAGAAACCAACAAAGATAGAATTTAAACTAAGTGTGTTTTATTCACTTTTCTCGAATGTTTATTCTAATTATAAATTTGTTGACACTTCGCAGCAGTGACAGCTGGTGACAGGAGTTGGTAGTATTGATTTCGCGGGAATCGATGACATTTTTAAATCCAAAGGTGTTTTATTGGTTGCTTATTTAGAGATAAAATTTTTGGCGGTTAACATTATTATTCTTATTTTTTACTAAGTGTGACCTCATACTTAAACGAGTTAAGCTTAAATTAAGTTGATCAAAGACAGACAGAGAAAGAATCTAGTTAGAATTGGTGAAAAAAACAATAATTGAATTAATATCGGACGAACAACATGGCAAGTTTTTTTTTTACAAAGGAAAGTAGCTATTTTATTATTGAAGTATAGGTTTGCGGAACTATTATGGAAATATCAACTAAGAGATTAGAGAACCGGTGGGGGTTATACAAAATACTTAAGTAACTTTGAATTTTGGCCTCTTTTTTAATGAAAATGTTATAAATAAATTTCTAGTTAAAGATAGTTCAAGTTGTATAGATTCGTATGTGGAGCCAAGACTAACTAAACTAGGACAAAATGGTACTCAAGTTAATACTAATAACTTAGAAAACGTTATAGGTGCATATTTGGGGAAAATTGAGATTCCAGGATAATGAAAGAAAGATTTTTGTTAAAAAAATAAATAATGTTACACGCTGAAAGAGAGGATTGATTACTGTAAAAAAAAATTAATAAAAACTGATAAAATAACCAACGTTCTTCTTGTCTTGTAGTCAGGCAACCAACATTATAACCATTAATATTTCAAAGTAAACTTTCAAGTTTACTTGTCTAAAGAAAATTACTTCGTTCAAAGAATTACTTGGTTTATCTACGACATTTTAATGCTTTTGAACAATGTTAAAATAAATATTATTAATAACATTTAAACTAATTTGCAAAATTGTGCGAAACAGAAAGAGCACAGAATTGCATTAGGAATCTTATTTTTTTTGGTCCCTCTGTCCCTAATTATGGTATACATTTGGGTTTACATTTGTTATCTAAATGTATACCATAATTTGAAACAAAAGTAGTAGTTTTTTGTGATTATAAGTTAGTATAAGTGGCATTTTTTTATATAGATACTGTTAAAAAACTTATTATTTTGTTCGCTTCGTTTTTACTAGATGTTAAAAAAATTGTGGAGATTTTTACATTATTTTATTTTTAACAGCTAGCGCTCACCCCGTTTTATCTTAAATCGTTAGGTATTTGTTTGCTTTACATGTATTGAGAATAAAAAACACCGAAAATTGTTGTTTTTATATTCAATTCTTAATTAATGTGGGAATGGAAACAAAAGAACAGCTGCGGTAGTATTTTTTGCAAAATTGTTTCGTGTCGTTGATTACAAGTTCAGATAAATTTCAACCGTCATAAATTATTTTTTAACCTTGTCTTTGAAATTTATTTATATAGAACAATACATAATAACAATATAGTCAATAGTCTACCAGTAGTTGTCAACATTTTTAGCCCCAGTTCCTCAGGGTAGTTATTTATTCAAAAATTAATTTAGGACTTTTTTATACACTTCCAAATCAATAGTTAATTTCTATTTTCGTTGATTATTATCACCCAAACTTGTTTCTTTTTCGTAGAATGTGTTCACAAATCAGCAGTTTTTATACCGACTTGTGAAGGGTTGTTATGATGTGATAGTGCGCTGTAATAAGCATCGTCGGAGAAGTAGCTCATTTAGAATAATATCTGGGTTTGCACATCAAATCTAGATACATTTTACTGTGTATTTTTATACCAAATTAGAAAACAAAAAAAAATCACTTTCGTGTTAAAGAAAATAAAAAGTTCAAAGCTCAACCGATTCTCAATACAACATTGTAAACCAGTTAATCAATCGTCTTTGTGATGGTAAGAAAGGTCCAGACCACATGTGTAGGTAAGTAAAAGAAAGGTGAATGCCCACATCAGTGACTGAAGCGATAGCTTAGGATATTCGCAATTTGTATATAGTTAGAAAGAAAAGTACGGTATTTTTTACTGTTAGTTAAAAAATTAAACGATGATGGCAAAAAAATTCTGTAATTTTCCAATGAAATAAACCACAACTAATTAACCAGACGCTAAGTGACAGTTTACGTATATATGTAGGTATGTAGATAATTATTCTTCATATTTCCGAAATAATCCCTCAAATATGTCAATGTCGTAAAACGTGATTAGAATTTATCCGGTGTTGGATTACCTCGCGTCTCATTTTTCACGTAATAAGTTTGAGAATCACTGCACTATTATCTAATACCTATTTCCCGAAACTTAGTTTCAGTGTTTCAAGAATTTTATTTGTTAGTGATTAACAACAAAAATTTTTAGGTGCGCTTTATTTTTTTATCAGAGATCACACTGTGTTAACACAAAAATATCATTTAGTCTGTAAATAATAACAAATTAAAACTATAATCTGAATTAATTAATGAGCAGGTTGCCTGTAGTGTTAAATAAACAAAGGGTTTATTCATTACATTGTATAATTATGTTATGTGGTGTATCGGTGCCATTATATGATTGGACAGGCGTGAAAAATATTCCCAAGTTTGTAATAAGCTGTTTCATTGTTGATACGTAAGTACTTTGAATAATTTCTACCAAAAAAATCCTATTGTTGCTGAACCCTGGCTGTAATAATAAGTCTGGACTTTCTCCTCTAATTTAATAATAGTGCAAAAATTAAAGAAAGTTGTCCAATTATTTATTTTGTAAATTATACGTATTATTGTGTCGTTAAAGACTTATATCACTTTTTTAAAATATGTTACGATGGGCTCTAAATTTTGTTTTTTTATTTTGATTTTTACTAGATATAATTTTACAAAATTACATATTCCAGACTTGATTTACTTAGGTATATAAGTAATTATTGTCAAAACCATTCGTACATTGAACGTTTCATAAAAAAGAAACAAATATAGGAATACACGAGTCATATCCTATACCTTTATAAAATTTCCTGCACATAAATTAGTAATAATAGTTATTTGTAAGGCTCGGATTATATGCAAAATGCATATTTGTTATTAAGAGGTATATCAACAAAATTGTAAGTTCTCTATGCATATCTAATGTTTTTTGATTAAAATAAGCCAAATAAAAAATGCATATTTGTGCATATTTTATTCAAATCATAAATCTACGATTAAAAACTTCAGTTCAAGTTAATATTTTCTTCAAATCACAAATTTCCGATTAAAAATTTCAGTTCAAGTAAAAAATTGGACAGTTTAAGAAAATTGATCCGATTACAAAATATTTTAAAGGGAAAAAAAAACGGTAATTCGTAAACTGGACTTAAAGAATTAGTATCCTGCTGAGTGTTTCCTTTTTAAATTCGTTTTATACAGGGTGAATATAAAGTATGTAAGTGAGCGTTTTTTTTTTAATTCATTTGCCTCCAGAAAATAATAATTACCTATTATAAATTAAAGTAATATAAAAAATGTGATCGTATTTTGAGAACGAAAAAAAGAAATAGTTTATGCAAAAAACATTTGATTCTATACTTTTTATTCACCTGGTATGGCAATAATTCTTCCATTTGGACAAGTAGTAGCCTGCAAATGAATTTTAGCGAAATTATTTAAAGTGATATGATCTGAAAAGTACAGATTTCTTAGAAAGGCTTAAATACTTTATTAAAATGGCTTGTCTGAGGCAAAATTTATTTATTTATTCTCTTTCGTTCATTGTATACATACCAGGTGAATAAAAAGTATGGAACCAACCGTTTTTTGCTTAAACTATTTATTTTTTCAAAAAACTAATTGATGAGTGGTAAACTACTATAAAAATGTGATATAAAATTTTTCGAAATTTCCTTTTATTTTTGAGTTCTACAAAAAAAATAATTTTTTTAAATGGCAACTCACTATAAAATCATTTTTCTCATAAAAGCTATACTCTAAGGATTACAACTATCTGCGTTATTTTTAATTTTTTCAAAAAAATTTTTTCACATAAATTGCAATTTTGACAAAAAAAATCGCATAACTCAAAAACAAAACAAAATTTCGTTCTGAAATTACGATCACATTTTTTATATTACTTTAATTTATATTAATTATTATTTTCCGGAGGCAAATGATTAAAAATAAAACCGCTTGGTTCCATACTTTATATTCACCCTGTATATGCAACTCAAGATGCCGAAAATACAAAGTTTAGTGTACCTACTCAAGGATAAAAATTTATCCCCACTTTGATTTTTTAGTGTTAAAAGTTTTGCATATCGATGCATATTTGGCATATATTGGAGTATATTTCTTAATATCTTGTGCATATTTTTTTTAAATATATGCGCATATTTTACTTATTTTATGTGCCTTATCCGAGCCTTAGTTATTTGTATTACAACGGAGGAAAGTGTATCTGGGTAGTAAGCACCCAGGGAGGAGAAGACACTTTCCTGCGGTGTAGTATATATAATTTTTCCTACGATCCAGCAAGAAAAATTTAAAAACTACCAATGTCTCCTGATACCTCAATTTTGGAAAGCCGTTCAAACAAGTTTTCAAACGAAAAAAAGAAAAATTCAATTTTTAAGAAATACAGTAAACAAATGGGTTTTTTACAATTGAATGTTGTTCCTAAATTAAAAAAGTACTTCACACACACAATATCTGAGTTTTTATCTCATTTTAAGTATTTGTAACGGATTGAAAAAAGGTATTATTTAAATTGCATGAAAAAAATACAGTAACATAAGTAGGTAATCCACAATACGCCAAAAATAAATCAAAAAATTCGTCCGAAGTTTTTTTATAAAAAAATAAAATGGCCAAAAATAGAGGTTTTTTTAAATTTATTTTTAAACGGAACGGACAAAAAAAATTAAATTTATATATATTGCTGCAAAGACCATGAAAAAGGTATGATATTTTTTTCAGAATTTTTAAATAACAATATATTTTTTATTCAGTATAGTTCAACCTTAAATTTATTGGCATGTTATTCCGTTTCTCACTGACCACTTTCCTTTCTGGAAATAGGGTGGAAAAACTTACTTTTTGTTGTGGATGTAAGGAAAAAATAAAAAAAAATTCGTATTCGTAATTCTGCAAAATTTATTTTTACCACATCTAACGTTTTTTTAAAGTCAAATGTTCAGTTCACTTTTATCTAATTTGAGATCACCTTAACTCACTTCTAGTATCTTGCACCTGCTTGCATTTTGATTATTTAGATACGCAAATTCTGAAAATTTTCCGCAGAGATTATTTAATATGCACTTATCTACTATTTGCAATGATATAAAGTTTCTAACACACGAAGTGTTTGATAAGAGAAATTTCCGCGATTTCTGCTTGACATTTAAATTTAGACTTGGCAGCGAGTCCTCAGACAGCTGATTCCATCCCAGTCACAAAATTCTTTCTTTAACAAATCAATTAAAATTTATCAGCCTATAAAGAATTGTTCAATGAAGGCCGTCGCAATAATGCGGCAAAACGCTAATTGTCGTCCACATAATATTAAAGCAATGTTCAGTAGCCGGCATTCCTTTGGCAAGACACGCAAAATCAACACACTTTATTTATTTTAGAATCAGTTGCTGATCTCAGGCATAAAACAATTAAAGTGATAAATCAACAAAAATATTTAGTTAAGTGCCCCAATGGAAGCAAATAAAAGACAACTAGAGGTGAAGCTCGACCATGAGTGCATTTACGTTTTTGAGAGGAAAGAAGAAATGGCCCCTTCGAAGTTTCGGCGGAAAGTCTGGCAAATCCTGCCTTCAATTTGTGGTAAGTCAGTTGCTACCACTAGAACTATTTTGAAAGAATTAATTCTAGCAACCCTTATGTGTCTACCATTTGGCATAATGCTAGGGTGGCCTTCTCCGACTTATCCCACTTTGATCCAGCCCGGGGCTCCAGTCTGGATCAGCATGGACCAAAGCGCCATGATTGCAGGATTCCTCATGATCGGCAATACTGTCTCCACCCCTTTTTCGTCAATCCAGCGAATAGGAGCCAAATACGGGATCATCATCGGGGCTAGTCTCATTACCATTGGCTGGATTGTGATGTGGCAAGCCCGTGACGTCTTCTGGCTACTAGGAAGTCGTTTCCTGATTGGTGCAGGAAACGGTTTTGGCACCGGTCAAGTCAAACTCTACATCAACGAAATCTGTCAAGACTCCCTAGCCCAAACCATGGCCAAACAAATCAACCTCTATGTTTTCCTAGGCGTGTTTCTGGCTTTCTCGTATGGACCCTTTGTTGATTTTCGAAATTTCAGCATAATCACTTCAATCATATCAGTTTTGGTCCTGTTTCTTGCCATTTTCTTGCCATCAACTCCACGGGAACTGGTCAAAAGTGGCAAAATGACTGAAGCCCGAAAATTGATCGCTTTTCTGAGCCCCGATTTGAGCGTCAGTGAAGAGATTGTGAAAATCAAAGAGCGGATTAATGCCCCTGATAATAGTATCAGTTTTTGTGATTTAGTAAAAAAGGAAAGTTTGCGGAAAAATTTTGCGATTTTTGCCTGTTTGGTGTTTTTTCAGCAGTTTTCGGGAGCTCCGGCGACTGTGGTTTACTCGCAAATGATTTTTGAGAAGGCACATTGTCCAAGGCCGGAAATGTGTGCTTTGGTGTATTCTCTAATGTTTTTAATAGCGAATTTTTACGGGATTTTTTGTGTTCCTAGTCACAATAAAAAATACGTTCTCTTGTTCTCCTCAATAGGAGTTTCAGTATTATTAGTTTTAAATATAATAGTCTTAGTTGAGGAAGCTAATGTTCATTTTTGGCAATTCACCTCTTTGGTGATCCTTCTGTTGTATATTCTAGTCCATGTTGTGGGATTAGGAACCGTTCCTTTCCTCCTAATCCCTGAGTTATTTCCCAAAGAAGTAAACAAAATCATGGTCCAGTTTTTAATCATGTCGAACTCGATGTTCGCCTTGATTATAACAAAAATCTTCCAGGTTTTATTAACAAATTTCGGGTTGGTCACCCCCTTGTGCTTATTTCTGACGGTTAGTACCTTCTCTATCATCTTTGTGATAATTTTTGTGCCGAGTAAAAGTAATAATAAATCGAATAACACGTGACTTCGTTTATTTCCTCTTACATAATAACAACAATTGACTTAATTGATTCAATTCTACTTAATCTAAGTTTTTATCCTCACGAAGTAGTCTCCGCAATTTCTCCTTCATCTCTTTGGATTTTTCAAAGTTTCGTTGGCGTCGAGCAAGTCTCTCTTCTTTCAGGCATTTGGTCATTTGGTGGTCGAGGGAATTACAGTAACCGACGAATTTCCGAAAGGGGTGTTCATTGTGACATTCTTGCAATAATCGGATCAATTCATTGCACTTTTCTGAGTGCAAATGTTGCGACAAATCTGTATGCATTTTGCCAAATTTACTAATGAGAATGACAGTCGTCTATCAAGTGGGCTTGTGTCAGAACTACACCAGCCATCTAGCGAACGATAATCAAACTTCAACCAAGTAGAAATCTTGTTATAATTTGGCTTTCAAAACACTGAGAGGGCGTTACAAAACGTAATTTGAATTTTTTTGACCAAAAATAACTCATCGATTTTACTTTCTTCAAACAAGATAAATTTGCGTGCGTTTTGGGCTGTTTAAATTGCCAGAGATAAGTTAAATGTCAAAAAAGCTTATTGGAGTTCAACATGCAATAGATGACTTGTATACAATAAGAACTTAATTAAAGTCTATAAGTGCACGTGTCTTTTATTTATAATGGAATTGAACGTTAATGGGATACTAAATTGAAGATATTGACGGTTTGTGGTCCCAATTTAATTTACAGATTGAGTATAATGGAGTCTTGCAAAAAAAGGAGTAAATTTTTTATTGAATCATTGTTTGCTATTTTTAGAACGTCTTGTAAACTTGTAAGAAAAATATTGAATAAATGAGTGATAAACTCATTTGCTACATTTCAGATTACGAAAAAAATGGTGTATATTTAGTTGCCTACATATAGTTTAAAACTTAATAATTGAGACTAATAATTATGATTTGTGTATCTACATTTCATCAATACAATTTAATCATAAAAATAACACTTTGTAAAAACACATTTTTTTTGTTGATATAACTTACGTTTGGCTAATTATTTTTGTAATCATGTAATCATTTATGTAATTATATTCTCTAACTGGAAAAATAACTGGATATTCTAAGAGAGTTACGTCGGTTTGATTTTATAAGCTATAGTCCTGGAAACATACTTTTAAGTACACTTATTACCTAGATAAGGTTTTTGAAGATTGCAATTATAACTTCTAAATGCATTAGTTACTTAATTTTAAAATCTGTATAAAACTAAATAATTAGTAATGGTTTTTTTGTTGTATTTTATTTTTTACTTAAATAATTTTAATATAAATTTACAATCTTAAATCTTTTATTATTTTTGTTTAACGAAAAAATAATGGCTTTGTCCGGGATTGAAAAACAAATTTTTGAGTTTTAGTTTATAGTGGGTTTGTTTTGTTTTACCAATGCAGAAAAAAATACTGAACTGTATTAATAACTAATTTGTTAAAAGAATTCCTATAATAAATTATTGCTTTCCTGAAATATTCTTGTTTTTATAATAATTAGTCACTTTATAAACGCGTGCACTTTTGTGATGACTTGTAATAAAAGAAATAGAGATATTGATTATTTTTGCCCCCATTGATGACCAAAGATGACCTCAATGCACCATGGGGGGCAAATTTTATCCGATTAATTTTTAGTATTGTGCTAAACTTAAAATTGGGCTGTTTTCAGTGATTCCAAAATAAATTATTGGTTTAAGCCAGACATTAACGTACCGAAATAGATTTTAATTGCATTTTATAGTGACTGTCTGTTTAATTTAGTTCCAAAATTTATATACATTTATGATTTACAAATTATAACTCACATTATTTGATATAATAATATTACAATCTGAAAATGTGCAAGAAAGCCTTTTTTAGACCGGATGTTAACAATAACTTGTTTGCCGATTAGCTTCTCAAATCGATCATTTTTATCTCCACATGTTACACTATTCTTCATTCATACCTTATTTAGTATGATTCATGTGACAAGTGTGATAATAAAAATCTTGTATCAACCTCTTAACCTTTCAATAATTAATTCCATCAGACAGATCCAAGTACCAGGTTCCAGGTTAGATATGTATTGAGGACCAGATAATCGAAAGTAAACAATTAATACACAACAGTAGCAACAAAATTATTTCGGCAAACAAATCATTTTTAGCACTTTCAAAAATAAATTTCGTATGTAAATAACGGAGATCATCATGTGTCTACTCACATGACCCAAACAAACAGATAACGCGTGCTATTTTTCGCATTTTTCGAAATACTTATTTCCCACAACTGCGTATTGATACTTAATTAAGACATTAATTAAAAATCAAGGCCTCACACCGGAAACTAATAATAATGCAACAACTTTATTAACTTGTATCAATAAATTAGTACCAAATTTGGTATCACAGAGATAAAAAAATCCTTGTAATGTTTGAGTCACACTTCTATTTAAGAAATAAATTATCAAAGATTTCACAATATTGATGATATACAGAGTGAGTGCTAAAAAGTGGCACGTTTTTGTAATGTGTGTGTGGTGGTTTTGGTTGTAATAGAGTCTGGTAGGTATTCATTACGAGTTCCTATTGATTAGATCTAATTCAGAATGTAGCGGCAGCACGTTGCACATCTTTTGTTGTAGATTGTGGGGACGGCGTTCGCACGATATTATAAATTTAGTTTGAGACAAGACATACGAAAACAACGACGCTTGTGGTGCATGACATCGTTGACTCCTAAATAGAATTAATTGTGAGTAGCTTCAATTTTAATTAATTTTTCTGTGATAGTTTTAAAAGTTTTCACAAGAAAAAAGTTAGTGTAGTTTCATCTTAGTAAATAAATTTTTAATTTGCCGTTGTCTAATTTCATTGAATTAGGAATTAAGTAACCAACTTATAAAAATGTTGTTACATATTTAATTACTTTGCACTTGAGCTAATTTGTGTGAAAATTGATTAAAACAATAAAATTTTAACAATAAGACAAGTGTGGGATTGATTCTACACGTCTTTCGTCTTAGCCAATAAAATTTTTCATTATTATTTTTGTTGTGGTAGGGATTATTAGTTTAAAATAATTTAATAATTTAATAATTTAATATCATTTATGAATAAAATTAAAAATAATTGTATTTGTATGTTCAAAACAAAAATTTAGTCGCTGTTATGTTTGATAACATCAAGAAAATTAAAAGACAATTAGATACAATGCGATCAAAAAGTCTTTCTATCAAGTAGACGTTCTAGTTGAGGACGTATGTTGCATGGCAGTTCGTATGGTTATCTAGATGTCAAAAAATTATTTTATAAAAATTAAAACACTGAGCTAATGAATTTGAATTATTATACGTCTCAAAACAAACTAAAATAAGAGTTTGTTGGTGTTTATTCATAAAAATCGTTCACCACGGTTTCCTTTACATAAAAAATATTTTGAAATTTCTCATTTGTCATTGTGACATTTTATTTTCCACAGACATACGTTTTAAATTTCTACGCTTGCTTGATAGACACACTTTTTGATAGCACTGTAGAAAAGTTTCTGTGTATTGCTGTATTTTTTAAATTATTAAATAATAATTAAACTTTAGAAGGACTCTGATTTTGTTTTTTTCAATTTTCAATTGATTTATTTAACCAAATTATTATTGATGAAAAAATAAAAAAGCCTTTATTGCTAGTAAAGAAAAATGTACTTTTAACTCTGTAGACAAGTTTTTGCTGCTCCATTCACACAGTGCTTTGGATTAGTGAGCTTTTGTTTTTGGAAATGGCAAAAAAGTAAAACATGTCATTATTTCAACAAAGCGTTTGCTTTCTAAAAGCGAATTTTTAAGCAACGTTCTTTATTTGGGACACCTATTTTCATTTTGCTAAAGAAAAAAGTTACAATAATAAATAATCTACTTTTATTTAATTTTTTTTATTTAATTAATTAAAAAGTTAGATACCAAATATCTACCACCTGAAATTAACTTAAAAAATATGCAACACCTAAACCTATACTTATTGTTCAGTAACTTATTTATACTTTATCGAAAGTACTTTTATCACAATTTGCATTTACAAACATATTACTAAATTTTAGGAGGGATTTGATTTATTTTTTTTGTAACACCATTATTGGTAAAAAATTACTGTTTATCGTATATTAACAGAAGAATTATGGAATAAGCACCACTGATAAATATCTCGAACGGCTTCTTTTGGTCGCCTCTGGCACTACCTACCTACATTTTCGAACTAAAAAATAATTTTAAAAAAGTACAATATTTTTACTTAATTAGAAATATTTTTTTATATCTTAAATGTAATTTTATCAGAATTTTTATTTACAAACATTTTTTGTAACACCATTAGTAAAGAAATATTATCGTTAATTGTTTATTAACAAAAGAGTTAGTTATTTACAATTCGCAAATTTGATACGTCCGACTTGATTAAAAACTATTTATTAGAAGTATGATTTTTTTTTAATAAATAGTTTTAAAATTTTTTATTGACTTTTTTAAATAAATATATTTTTTGAACATTTCTGTTCTTTAAATTTACTTCATTATTCCAAACATAATTAAAAATTTAAAAAAAACAACATAAAACAGCTTCAGAAATACCTGCAAATAAAAAAATATTCTTGTAATTTTATAATGTTTGTAATTTATCTAATCTTTCTCAAGTAGCTTAACTTTTTCTAATTTATCGTTTAATAAATTATATTATTTGGTAAATTTGGGACTAATACAAAATCTAAAAAAATTATGCAATAATGTAACAATGCAAAAATATTATCGTTAATTGTTTATTAACGAAAGAGTTAGTTATTTACAATTTACAAATTTGGTACGTCCGACTTGATTATAAACTATTTATTAGAAGTATGATTTTATATTAATACTTTTAAAAAATTTTATTGACTTTTTTAAATAAATACTTTCATTAAAAGGGATAATAAAATACATTTCTGTTTTTCAAATTTACTTCATTATTATAAACATAATTAAAAATAAAAAAACATAAAACAGCTTCAGAAATACTTGCAAATAAAAAAAATATTTTTGTGATTTTATAATGTTTGTAATTTAACTAATCTTTCTCAAGTAGCTTAACTTTTTCCAATTTATTGTTTGATAAATCATATTATTTGGTAAATTTGAGACTAATATAAAATCTAAGAAAATTATGCAATAATGTAACAATGCAAATGGAAATGCATGACCATAATTTATAATAAAAGGTCCGACAGCTAAAAAAAAAATTCAACGTTAATAACACTTCCAAACATGTAACTTTAAATAAACAACGTTCCAATTTAATTTTTTCACCGTAAGAAGAAAATTCAACTTTAATAACACTTCCAAACATGTAACTTTAAATAAATAACGTTTCAATTTAATTTTGTTAATTTATTTTAAAATAATTGTTTAAACTTTTTCGACTTTAAGGCGAAAAATGCACGGCTTACGATGTGCAATTAGCAAAACCCGTCTCTATAGTAGGTACTATAGAAAGGCCCCTAATTCTTCAATAAGATCAAGGCCAATTTACTCATATAAATTCACAAAGCCGAAATAAATTTGAATAGAGAGGTCGGTGTAAGTGTCGTAAAAAAGGATGTCCACTCTATTCGAGATCACGGTTACGATGTAAGCGGTGCTTCAGTTTTCAACCCATTAAAACATTTTCCTTTTTGCAGTGTAGCAATCATGGGAATCATAACGAGCACATTAAGTTATTACATGACCAAGACGAACGATCCCGATCCAATTACAGGACTCACATCGAGAGACAGATATGTCATACAGACGTCTTGGACACCGGTCAAAAAGGATTTGACCGGAAATGGAGTGGCACTTCTTCTATTGTAAGCCACAGTTTTTAATCACTCTTATAATAATTCGCACTGCAGGTACTTTGAAAAATTCCCATCAACAAAAAATTATTTCGTGTTTAAAGACGTACCGAATGAGAAATTGAAAACTGATAAGAAATTTCACGCGCATTGTAACAGTGTAATGGTCACGCTCGACTCGCTCATTGCCAATTTGGACGACGGGGAACTTATTGTAAGTCTTTTAGAAAAACTCGGGAAAAATCATAAAAGGCACGGGATTAAAGAGGAAGCATATGACGTAAGTTACTCATTTTTATTACCGAAAATAAAAATAAAATTTGTAGCAACTGAAAGAAACTGTAATCGAACTTTTTACTTCTTTCATGACGAAAGAAGAGCTCGAAACCTGGGATAAGTTGTTAAAAGTGGCGTTTAGTGTTATAGTTAAATATTTGTAATACCCATTTTACAAAACTTGACCCAACTGCAATAATTTTATTACTTAAAGTAATTTTTGAATTTTTAGCATTCAAGGTTTATCTTGACTAAAATCTCCTAATATAGGCAATCAGTCATACAAGTGTGTATTACGGTACATATACTGACAATATCGGTTGAATGTTATCAATATAAATTCTAATTAAACAGTTTTATACACTATTGCTCTTAATTTTTTTAAATTATATTGATTTCACTGATATCAGATAGCAACACCAAATTATTGCGTCAAAGTAAAAGTAACTTTTGATTGAGTGACAACAATAATAATGAAGCACTTGCATCAAAAATGTATTAAATTATTAAATATGATTGTTGTTTTTGTTTCATTTAATTTTTCACTTATGATCAATTTAAAAAATTATATTATTAATAATATTGCTGTCTGCATTTATGCATCATGTTTTCTAACAAGCGTTTCTTTTAATCATTTCCTTTTGTAAAATAAGAAATAATTATAGGTAAAATAACAAGACGACCGTATTTTATCCAATAAATTTTGGAATTTTTCGAAAACTTTTTTTTTGTAAACAAAATGATTTTCGAAATCCTTTTTGTACTAAACAAAAAGTATAGAAACAAGCGTTTCTTTTAATAATTTGCTTTTGTAAAATAAGAAATAATTATAGATAAAATTACAAGACGACCGTATTTTATCCAATAAATTTTTGAATTTTACGAAAACTTTTTTTTTGTGATGACAATTTGACGCGTTGAAGTTGGAAATTTATATTCTGATTAAGCCCAACATCGTATAAATTTTAAATTTCAACGAGTAAAATTGTTTGAGACAAAAAAGTTTGAGTTAAACTTATAAATTTATTCGATAATAAAAAGGATGGTTGAGTTTTATGTGATTAGATTGACAATCTAATACAAAAATTTTTAGCCAATCAAATTACAGAATTTTTCAAATTGGGAACAATGAAATTAGTTTATAGTAAAAAAATTATGTCAAAATGATATGTTAAATTTAATTAATTTAATATTAACTACATACACACGTGTAACAAAAAAAAGTCTTAAATATTTACAGTAAACATTATTATTTACCTACTATAATATTTATAAAAAACACTATTATAATGTCAAGCCGAATTCAACTCTTAGTCTGATTTTGTCGGAAAAAATTAAACTACTTGTTAGATATTTGATAAAAATAAATTGAATAAAGTATAAATAGTTGTAATCCTCAAATCGAAGTCTTTCTAAAAAAAAAAAGTTTTATAATGGATTATAAAGTTATCATTTGAAAAAATAAAAAATTATGCAAAACTTACAACGTCACATTTTTATAGTACTTTATCATTCATCATTTAGTTTTCATTTAGTTTATTAAGCAAAAAATATTTATTGCAGTAGAAACCGTTACTTTGATTAAAAGTAATCAATCTCAAGCATAGATTTTACTATCTATGTTTTACTCAATTTATAAATAAATAAGATAATCAGTTAGACAAAATTACATTTTATCTATCAATTTGCAACGACAACAGATAATAAAAAAACAGTAACCAGCTAATTTATTGCATTTTATATTTTGAAAGATGTCTCAAAATAGAAAAATTACATAATACAATACACACATTTCGCAATATTACAACGAAATAGACAAAGTTGATTTAAATAAATACGATAAAGACTTGACTAATGATTTTAAGATATGATTTCAAATCACGTATAAACACCTCACTGATTAGGTCTAATTCAGACTGCAAGTAGTGAGAACACGTTCAACATCCTTTTAGTTGGAGGTAATTTGATTGAAGTTTTCATAGAATTACACGAACACGTTCTGTTAAATTAGCCATAATTTGGATTAACGCATAATTAGACAAGTAAGTACATTTTTTGTTTTATTGTCTCTGCGATTGAAAATTAATTAGGATTTAAACAGACAGTTTATTTAATTTTTTTAAACAAAAGCGAAAACTTTATTTTTCATAGTCATCGGCACAAGAAGGATATGCCACGTAATTATGCAACGCTTGCCAATAATGGCAGTGTAAATATTTGCAAGTTAACAAGAGTCAATTTGGTGACATCGGCTATTAATTAATAATTACTTATGGCAATTTTTCTCATAAAAATGATTAATGAATGTACTTTTCCTCAATATTTCATCGTTAGTAGACACATCCTATTTTTATTTTTATTAGAAATGGGAGGCATTATAAGTTTGTATAATTACTACACTACAAGAACCGACGACCCTGACCCTCTCACCACCCTCACGTCTAGAGAAATATACCTAGTCCAGTCCTCCTGGGGTCCTATTAAAAAAGATTTAACGGGTTATGGGGTCCAACTTCTCCTTTTGTAAGTCCCCCAAACGCATTTCACGCAACAATAATTGCAAGTTTCAGTCTTTTTAAAAAATTTCCGGAGGAACACCAAAATTTCCCGTTTCGGTATATACCGTATGAAGAGCTCGGCGCTAGTAAAAAGTTCCACGCCCATTGCAGTAACGTAATGTATGCAGTTGATTCCATTATTGATAGTTTGAAAGACGGTGAATTGTTGGTGAATATTTTGGAAAAAATCGGGAGGAATCATCACAGAAATACAGTCAAACCGATCTCGTTTTGGGTGAGTATTGCATAAAACATAACAAGTCAACAATCGAAAATTTGTAGCACGTCAAAGAAACTATGCTAGAGTTTTTTAAAAAAACGATGAATGACGAGACATTGAAAGCTTGGGACAAGGCACTGCAAGTTGCATTTGGCGTGGTTGCCAAGGAATTGGACAAGAAGAATTAGTTTTTGCTGTATTGTATTTTATTAAGTAAAAATCCCTCGTTAAAACTAGAACGTTTATTAAGTACAAAAAGTCGAATACATGTATCCGCATGACTTAATCAACTCACAGCATTGAAACTTAAATCTAGTCATAAATAATTATTTGGTGGATGATATGTACACGACCATTATTTACATTGGTTGATTTATAAACCTGACTGGAGAATTACCAAAATGATTAAAGTAACAAATCTCGATTTTATCGACACTGACGATGAGGGTGAACGTTTCAGTTTGAAGCTACATTGGATTTTTTGGTCATCGGAGTAAACTGTAAAGTTTGGGAAATTCACAATACTTTCTTTCTGTAATAAAAAATGTTAACCATGGAAAAAAAACACAAAATAAGTCTTACAATAGCAAGTGAGTCGTCACGTTTCCTACAAAAGGTTAGATGAAGCCCTGTGTAGAAATACTCCTCCATTTTCCTGGTGATCAAAGACTCGTTGTAGGGAATGTCTTGCAAATGATCCATGAACGACTTATTCCTAAACTCCTCCGGGTCCTCTATCACTAACTTATCAAACATTGTTTGTCCATCATGAGTCTCCCCTTCAATGGTATAATCTTTGGCATTTTGCAGGGCTATAATCGCCCTTCTGTTGGCTTCTGGTGACATTTCGTCGCCCGGTTGGTACGGAAATAGTGGCTGATTTGGTGAAGTTGAAGGTGAAACTGGATCAGTTTCAGCCCTAGAATCGCAAAATGAGAAAAACCAATTGTAAAAAATGACAAGACTTACTCTCCATGCAAGAAAATGTTTTCAATTTCTTCCATATTCTTTCCGTAGAACTTGTTAACCCCTAAATTTTTAAAAAAGTATTTTATGGGTGACATGGAGTAGCAACCAGCAAGTTGCGTCCTCGGATAATGTAAAACAAAAGCTAGACACATCTCCTCCTTGGTGGAGTAGCCCCCAAGTGTGGGTTTATTCCGATTAAGTGTAGAATAAGTACATTCGGTCACAAGACCATCTCCTGGAAGGATTATAACATCCTGAGACAACGCCCTTGATTGTTGGTAGTTGAAATCATAATGCTCGTCTTGCGCCAATGGTGGGAGTTCTTTCCCGGCGCGAATATGCCTCAACTTTAGTTTCCTCCCAGCTAAATGCGAATGCAACATAACCGAAACCACATGAACCCCTTCTTTCGGAAACGTCGCTTTGGTGCAATCCATGTTGCAATAACCGGCCGTTTTATATTCTTTCTGATACGGAGGGATGAAATGTAAGCTTGACAATGCAATCCCCGTTGTCAAAATCCCTCCTTCATTCTCCCTCAAGTCGCTGGTGTAGTGAAGTCGAAGTCCTGACGTGTCTTGCGTTTGCTTCATGGCCGGATTGTCAAAATGGACTTCTAGCATGTAAAATGATTTTTTCTTGGCGGCGAGAGGAAGTCCAACGTGTTTGGGGTAATTTTCGCCTTTGGAACCGATAGCCCAGGCTACCAAGGGGGTGAGGCATTTTTCCCACTCGGGGGCCATGTTAGGGCCGTAGCACAATCGGCCGGTCTCTTTAGAGAAACGTTCCCATTTGAGGTAGTCTTCGCCATCGAGTTCGCACTCGTGGAGGATCATGTGGTGCACGAAGGAGGTGTGGTTAGGGCCGATGAGGGGCTCGTAACCCACGATGTGGTGCTTGTGCTGCAGAGTGGGGGCTTTGAAGATCTTGCACCAGTAGACGGTGTTCATGTTGCTGATTATTTCAAACTGGAATAAGTAAAAAAATGCTACAAGAATTTACTTAACATTTTTTTTATCCGCAAACGTCACAAAAGTGACCACTTTTATGTCACAAGTACAATCAGCGTAGAAAAGATTGTCCTCCTAGTAAACCGCCCGGACCATTAGAGGCTGAACTCATAAACCACAGCAATAAATCTTTTACATTGTAAACGTCATTTCTTATTTACCAATACATTTATTTTCAAGTGAAACTCAATTACCGATTTTACTTTCAATTGAGTAAATAACAAATTATTTTGAAAAATTCACAACTTTATACTGCATCTAAAAATTAAATTAAAAAATAATTTTAATTAATGCTTAATTTGTTCTTTATACCGGGTGGGGCATCAGTTACGCGCACTTGATAAATCGCGACTTCAAATTAATTAAAACTGGCGATATTTCATATACCTAACTAATTATTGATAGGGTATAATTTGAGAATTTTTCTAATTCTGCGTCGGTCAGTATAAAAATTAGAATTAAATTTTTTGGGAGAAAATTAGTTTTTATTTTTTTTTGGCTTTGTTTGTGAATGAAAAATTACCAAAAAATTAGAGAATGTACCTTACTAATGCCCAGGTAAGTGTGAAAAAATTCAACAATTTTATTTAATTAGAAGTGGGGATTTTCTTTTTGGGCGTAACGGATGCCCCACCCGGTATACTAAGATAGCAAGTAAATGGCATAATTAAATAAACAATATTATTATTATTAGTAATACCTAATAAAAACCATTTATTATTAGGAATTAAAATAACAAATCTAACCAGATACAATGTAACATAACTCTTTAATTTATTGACAGCTTAATTCTTTTTATATGGGAACAAGTATTGCAAATGGCAAATTAAATAATTTCATATCATATGTAT